CGCACCCCAAGCCTGGCCCCTTCCAGTCGCTCCCGCGACCTCGGCACCCCCCCCCCCCCACTCAAGCCAGCCTTGCGCTTGCTCCTTACTCCTCACGCGCTGCTGTAGAGTCGTGGCTTGCAAACGCCATCCAGTTGCAGCCTTTTCACGCCGGAGCCACGGCTGACCCGTGATCTAAGGGGTTTGGAATGCCCGGGGCCACTGCCCAGAGGTGCTGAGCGCCACCCCAAGTCCGCACCGGTGGCCCGGGCCTGTCGCAGGGGTTGAAGGTGGCTCGCAGGGATTGCGGCTCCCGGTGCCCGGGCGCCCCCTGCCGGTGGCTTCCGGAGACGCAACGGCGGCCGGAGGACCCGCCCTGGCGCCCCAGTCGCAGACTGCGCAGCTGCGGGATGGAAGGAGCCGCCGCATCTTCCTCCTCTGGATTGGTCTCCGGGAGGATGACCCACCCGCGGAGCCTACGGGAGACCAGCGGGTGGCCTGGGCCCAATAGAACCGACCAGGCCGACAAGTTCGAGGGTGTTTCCAAGTACAGGAGCTGTAAAAGGGGGAGGGAGAAGCAGGTCCCACGCTTCGGACGCAAGCTCTGCGGCGTCCTGCGGAGCAAGCTAGCTAGGAAGGCATCCCTGAACCCCAACATGGCGAGGCAGGTGTCGTTCCGGGCAAGAGAGGGGGCCGAGAGGCCCGAGGTCAACATCGGAATAACCCTAAAAGCCGAAATCCTTGTAGATCAATTAATGACAAGTAGATAAAATGATAGTTGAGCAATGGATGATCGATAGATGGTAGATTATAGACAGGCGAGAACTAGACGATAGGTCGGTCATGTATAGATAGATGGATGGTAAATGATAGCTAACAGGAAGATAAGTGATAAATAATGAACGGATGCTGGAGAGAAACGTCTCCTTGCTTCTCAGCAGGCTAGCACACAGCTGTCATTTCTGTCCCAGGCTGAAATTCAAGTTCAAAGTCAGCCTGAGCTACCTGTTGAGACCCAGCCTCAAAATAACAACACAGCAACAGCCGCTGTCTGTACTGCGCCTCTCTCCTCAGAGTGTGTGTGTGTGTGGGGGGGGGGCCTTAAATCGCCTCCTGCACACAATATTCTCTTCTTTTTCTCCCCCACTGGACATTATTCTGCAAGGTTTTTTTTTTGTCGGTTTTTGTTTTTTGTTTGTTTGTTTGGTTGGTTGATTTGGTTCTTCCGGAGGGGCTTTCTCTGTGTAGCTCTGGCTGTGCTGGAACTTGCTGGCCTGCCTCTGTCTCTGTCTCTGAAAGGGGTGTGCCACCACCTTCTGGCCTCCTGGCATCTTCCAAAAGTCAGATCTGCTTGGCTAATGTGTTATTTATTTCACAACCTGACCCCACCGCAAGGCGGCTGGGGGTGTGGCTGAACTGGCAGGACACTTGCCTAGCATTCACGAGGCCCTGGGTTAGATGCCAAGCACCACATACACTGAATGTAATCTTCATAGCCATGATACTGTGGGCTAGTGATCAAATAGACCCCCTTCCCTGTTGACTTTGACTTTTTAAATAAACCTACTTTATTTAGGGTTATTAAACATTTCTACCTCCCTTCCAACACCCCCTCAACACCAGATAGGAGGGAAAGAAGATTAGTGGGGAGAGGGGGTAGAGTTCTCTCTGCTACTTCCTCCTCCGGTAGGATCGTAGGATTACCAATACCAATATCACTCATCCAGAAGTCCAGGTAACCGGCAAATCAGCAAACAGCAAACACAGCAGCAGCAGGACGAACCAGCAGCAAACAGTCCTCCTCCAAGCAGCCGCGCCTTCTTCCTCTGGGCTGTCATAGTTATAGCCCTCAAAGCCTTCAGAATTCAGCTAATTCCATCTTCAAAGGCCATGGTCCACAGGAGACACTTAGCAGGTGTGGACAAACTAAAACCTCCAACTTGGAATGTTAACAAAAAACATGTTTACACACCATAAACCAAAACGTCCACAACATTCCTCTGCAGCGGCTGAGGAAGGACGGCCTTGCTGTGCCGTAGAACCTATTCAGAACACCAGTTCAGGGAAGCTGAGTAACAGGCGGACCCCCACAGAGCAGGTCAGCAGTCCTGGACACACTGAGCACAACAGCCATCACCGAGAGGGCTGAGGTAGGCCCTGGCGTGCGGTGGGTCGCACGGCACCTCTGCACTCCTGTTCCGTTGTCTAAGTGAGAGCAGGAGCAGAACTCCTTAGACGCTGGCTGTGTGGCCCAGCAGACTTGTGAGTTTATAGCTAAATATGAAGACCGCTTGGGCCCACACATGCCAAGTATTATATAAATACTTACTTTTGCCAGGGGTCAGGGCAAAACCTAAATCCCAGCACTTGGGAAGAGGAAGCAAGAGGACCACGAGTCATCTTCTACTACCTAATGAAGGTGAAGTCAGTTTGGGCTGTATGAAAGCGTGTCTCAAAAAAAAAAGGAGAGAGAGAAGTGATCCAGAGAACTTGCTCCACAGATAAAGCACTGTCTGGTGAACAGCCCTGGGTCTCTAGAATCCACATGGTGGAAAGAAATAACTGAGCCTTGAGAGCAGCTCTCTGATACACACATGTATGTTACACAGCACGCCTGTACTGGCTCACACGCTGTGATGGCTGTTCTCGGTTGTCAGCTTAACTGTGCCTGGAATGAGCTACAATCCAGAAACAGAGGGCACACCTGTCATCCGGATCTTGAGTTGGAGAGACACAACCTTTTGACCCAGATCTTGAGTCGGGGAGACACAGCCTTTAGTCTGGGCTGCATCTCCTGCTGGAAAGCCTACATAAGGACAATGGAAGAAGGAAGGTTTTGCTCTTTGCCTGTTTGCCCTTTGCCCTGCTAAAACATTCCTTCCTTCACTGGCATTTCCTACCTCTTCAGGGTCCCAGCATACACAGGAGACACCCAGCCTCATAGAGTTGGAGGGCCCTGCTGTTTGAGATTGCATTTCTTCCAGTCCAGGTAGGCATTCTGAGCTAGATGGAGGGCTCCCTCTCCCCAGCAGGGCCTCCTGTTCTCTGCCTGGCTTCATCTGGAGAGTGTTATTAGGCATAGATGCTTCTAACCACATCTGATACATGGCCTTTGGCACAGTTCCCTGCTAGCTCTCCCTTCCCCATGCCTAAAGGATAATTAGGTTCTGTGTTCTCATTCATATGATAGGAGCGTGCTGCCGAACGCAAATCAAGCATCTTTGGAATTGCTACTTCCAGCTAATCATGTACACCTATCCTGTGAACCCCCACACACACTCCCCAGGGACTATAAAGTCTTTGTTCACCCCAAATAAAGTTGAACTATCTCAATGAAGTGGTTCCCGGAGGCTATTCCGTCATGCTCAGGGCCTTCTGAGCCCTGAGGCCTGCCTCTGCTCCTCCTGCCCTCATGGGCTAGTGGCCAACAGTACCCCCCCCAGGGAAGAGGAGACCCACACAGGGGATAGGGAGATGGCTCAGTCAAAACCCTCCAGTTTTCTAGGACAGTCACTGGAACCCGCATTAACAGGGAAGGACACACACTATGGCCTCCTGTGCAGCACAGCAGTTTCCAGTGCTGCTGATAGGTTAAAACTCCATCCCCGCCATCTCTAGAGCCAACCTGTCTATTACCAAAAGACACCGGACAGGCCGGAGAGGTGGCTCAGTGGTTAGGAGCACTGATTCCTCTTCCAGAGGACCCGGGTTCGGTTCCCAGCACCCACAAGGCAGCCCACAACTGTCTGTGATCCTGTTCCAGGGGATCTGATGCCCTCACAGACATACATGCAATGCAGATAGAGCAGCAATGTACATAACACTTTTAAAAAATTAAATATTAAGAAGAAAGAAATGCAGGGGGACTGATATTACTTTCATTCAGTTCTTGTAACATTTTGGATACTTGCTAAGCTCCTTACAGAAACCACATTTTATCTTGCCAGTACCAGTAGCCCCAGACAGTGGTTTATAAGGAATATAAGACTCCGGGTGTTAAATGAATCATCCCCAGCCACACATTAAGAAAAGGACAGAATCCATTCCCCGGTTACAAAGCTCACCAGCTTGGAGCTGGGTATGGGGCATTTTCTGGAGCTACTTTTGTTATCGTTTCCTTTTAAATGTGTCTAATTGTGACTGAAGTATTACTCCCCATCAATATGCTGCTATATTGTGTCCGCTTGCTTTCCAAGGCAATAGAAAACGTCACACACTCGCTACTCCCAAATTCAATCCGTTTTTCCTAGAGGTTAGACAGCCTTCTGCCAGGTGAGGGCGCTGTGACACACTGGCACTCCAGGAAAGCTGGCTACTACTACGCCCAGAGCCTCTGCAGAGGGCATGGATTCACCTGCCCAGACCTGTATCCAAGGACGGTGCAGGATTATTTGACGCCACAGGCATTCATTCCTCCAAGAAAATCTGAATAAGCAGAAGCGTGCACGCTCTCCATTTCCCTGGTTCACGCTGCCACCCTTGAGAGACAGGTCCGTGGTACAGCAAATCCATTTAGCTTTGGGCGTCCGTCTCCCTCATCTGCAGGAAGCGAGCTTGGATCACGGGCTGTGATGCCAGCTCGGCCACCCGTGGCTGTCTGGTCCTGCGCCATCAACGACCCGTCTGGGCTTGTGTCTGGCCCCACACCTGAGGCCCATACTTAGAAACCCAAACCTAGGCTGTCCCCTTCCCTCCTGAGCCGAGAGGAGAGTTCCCGCTCAGAAGCCGCCACTCCTTCACACCTTGGTACAGCTGGCACCTAGGGCTCCGAGCTCTGGGCACAGCCTGGCCCGGGCCGGTTGGATGGAGAAGTCTGGGTGTCCTCGCAGCGCCCCGCAGCCGCTGCCCTCTGCTCCCAGTTACTTTCTCTTTCTTTTCTGCGATCCCCCGTGGGCCGCTGGAGGGAGGAGCAGGTCTCTCTCCGTCAAGCCTGAGGGCAGAGGGTAGGAGGGAAGGTGGGCAGGAGCCTTGAGAGCTCTGTGGCCCAGAGCCCTCCCATTCCGGGAGCCGAAGCAGGAAGAGGGTGGGGCCTACACTCACATGGCCCCGGAGGTAGGTCACTGGCACTTGTGGGGTCTCCCCAAGCTAGGGCCTGGACGCAGGAAATGCAACCCCAGCGTCTGGGGACCAGAGCCGGGATGGGACCAGCCTGCCTGGGATGCCGCCAACGCAGACACTATTCACCGATCAGGTACCGCCGGCCCCGCTCCTCCAAGGTTCTCACTGCGCCCTCCTCGTGCTGGGGGCCTGAGTCCCTCCATCCCCCCCACCAGCCCTGAGACCTCCCACTCCCTCCACGACGCTCTGTGGCTCCCACTCCCCTCCAGGGTCCCAGCCCTGAGCCACTGCGGCTGCCTCCTGGCTGCCTCTGAAGGGGCCACCCCGCACCCCCTCTCCACACCGCCCCGTCTTTCTTCCTGTTGCAACTCCTCAGCCTGGGGCTGCTTGCCTGTGGGTCTTCCTGCTGATCTCGGGCTGGGCTGGGCTGGGCTGGGCTGGGCTGGGCTGGGCTGGGCTGCGCGTCAGAATTCAAAGAAAAAGTTCACGCAGGCAGAGTTTGGACTCTCCTGTTCGCAGCACTTTTCCGTGGATGTTCTAGGGTATCTGAGCTGTTCTAAGCCAACTTCAGGGGATGCTGGGAGAAGAGAGGACCAGGCTCTCTTTCCCCATCGTGGGAAAGAAAAGTTTCCCCAACACACCCACTGCCTGCATGGTCACTGTGACCTCCCAGAACCACGCCTACAGATACGGCTTGAGAAAAAGAAAAAGAAGGGGGGGGGGGGGCTTGGGGGGAAGTTGGCACTGCAGAGATGGCTCAGCAGTTAAGAACCTTCCATGCAATGTCAGGCAGGGTGGCCAACGCCTGAAATGCCAGCGCTGGGGGAGGCAGTGGGAGGCCGGTCTCTGTGAGTTCGAGGCCAGCCTGGTCTGCAAAGCGAGTCTAGGACAGCCAAGGCTACACAGAGAAACCTTGTCTCAAAAAACCAAACCCAAACAAACAAAAAAAGAACCTTTGCTACTTGCACAAAGGACCGGGGATTCGGCTTGCAGCAAACATACAGAATGGCTCATAATCACCTGTTTTTCCAGCTTCAGAGGATCTAAGGTCATCTCCAGACCTCCAGGCATCCCAGCACACACATATTAGCACACAACACACACACACACACACACACACACACACACACGTATTTTAAAATACACTCAAGAGACACGAGTGTATTTTAAAACTATAGATATGAAAAAGAAAATTAAACCCCAAACTGCCTGCTCCCGTGGTTGACAGTGTGGCCAATTTCTGTCCCCTCTCTTGGTGTCTGTGATTAAAGAATTCTTTAGACTGTTCATAGCAAGTGTTAAGGTAGAAGACAGGCTCGGTGTGTTGCCAAGAAGGGGTGAGTGTGACAGCAAGAGGAGACCACTGTCCCTTCTACACTTCGGCCTGGGGGGGGGCGTTGCAGGCCTTCAAGGCTCGGCCCCCCCCCCCCCCCCCGCCAGTCCCAGTACTGTTTTTTCTGTCTTTGGAACACACACCCTCCCTGAGCAATTTTATTCTGTCCAGTGATGGATAGGCCTGTCCAGAGCCACTGCCAGGTTGGGGTTGGTGGGGGGCTCAGCAAGAACAGCCTGTCTTCAATCTTCAGCAAAAAGCCCCTCGGCAGCCAGCAGTCTCGAGATTAGGAGTCCCACAGCTGGTCAGAGGCACTTATCTGTCAACAGCCTTGTCCCATGCATGGCCTGGTAGCCAGTCCCTGATGTCACTGCTCCTTCCAGAGTCAGAGATAAGACTCAGATACCATTCTGACAAAGGCCGATTAAAGTCTGGCTCTGCCGACTCTGAGGGAGGGGTCCAGCCCGATGTCCTCCAAGCCCGATAATACCTTAACCAGTTCCCAAACCACAGGATGCATCAGCTGGCCGAACCAAGGACTCAGCTCTGCCCCTCCCAGCTCTGAGACAGGGGATCCAGCCCCTGCCTCCTGGTTTGGGGTTTTCCGAGACAGGGTTTCTCTGTGTAGCCCTGGCTGTCCTGGAACTCACTCTGTAGACCAGGCTGGCCTCGAACTCAGAGATCTACCCGCCTCTGCCCTCCGCGTGCTGGGATCAAAGGCGTGCGTCACCACATGCAGCTGTGTTGTGGGATTTTTATTGTGGTAGCGGTCATAGTTTGGCTGCCTTTTCTTCCCCCCAGACAGGCTTTGGTTACGAAGCCCTAGCTAGCCTGGCACTCACTATATAGCTCAAGTAAGGCTCAATCTTGGGCTAATTCTCCTGTTCCTGCTTCCCAAAGACCATAGTTACAGGCTTGGGCTATTCCTGTCTATTAAGTAAGAACATTTCTCGGAGGGTCACAGAAGGACTTGATGAGTTCAGATGCAGGAACTACCGAGACAGGGTAGCGGGGATTTCCTTGACAGCATATCTGTGTGTGTTTGGGGAAGGGGCCTGTTTATGGTGTGTGCGCCCACCTGGAGACCAAGGGTTGATGTCAAATGTCTTCCTCGCTTGCTCTGCACTTCATTTCTTGAGCTAGGGTCTTTCACTGAAACAAGCTTGTGGATGCTGGCTGGCTGGCCAATGAGTTCCTGGGATCCTCCTGTCTCCCAGCTCAGGGTTATGGATGCTGCCGCCATGCTTGAAGGCTTTTACATCTGCTCTGAGACTCGGGACTCGTGTGCACGTGCTTTACTGGAGAGAGCCATCCCTCCAGTCCCGTTTCCCTGCATTTTAAAACCTCCGTGCCAGCCACTCGCACCTCTAACCCTGTAATCCTAGCACTCAGGAGGCAGAGGAAGGTGGATCACTGTGAGTTCGAGGCCAGCCTGGTCTACAAAGTGATGGGACAGCCAAGGGCACACAGAGAAACCCTGCCTCGAAAAAAACGAAATGAAAAAAAAAAACAAAAAAAAAAAACTCCATGCATTGTGGAGGTGCCATGTCAGAAAGGAACGGAGGTGAAACACAGGAGAGCTTTGTGCCTTCCGTGTTCTTGGGTTGCGCCCCCTCCCCCCGCTCTCCCCCAGCCCTGGGGCCCTAGTGGGAGGGCACCGCTCTGGCAGCATTTTTCTCTTCTCTCCCTAGTCTTCCTGCTTGGATAGACTGCAGAGATTGTCAAAGGTTGAGAAGAGGCGGTTCCTTAGGGCTCCAGGAGCCTTGCTCGGCTTGGAGTGGCTCCAGGGCACTCTGCAATTTCTGGTTTTTCTCTCTTTGTGCCTGCAGAAACCGGATAAAGATGTTGTATCAAAGAACATTCTACTTCCACTTTAAGAACCTCCGCCACGCCAACGACCGAAAGAATACTTTCTTGTGCTACGAAGTGAACAGAATAGAGTGCAATTTGCTTGTCCCCTTTTACCAGGGGATCTTTACAAAAGAGGTACTAGGGTTGAGGACGTAGCTCTTGCTTGGTAGAGTGCCTATCTAACATACATGGAGTGCTGGTAAATCCTTCGCAGCGCCCGTAGCTTAAAAATCTGCCAGGATTGGTGGGGTGAATTTCAATGACTTAATTTAATCCAACATGAGCAACATTACTTAAAAGACACACACACACACACACATACACACACTGCTGGGTTTTAAGAGAGGATCTCATTTTTTGGCCCAAGATGGCGTCCAACGTCCCTTGATCCTCCCGTCTCAGTCTGGGATTACAGGTGCAGGCTGCCACGCCCCAATTCCTTTCTCTCTTTGAAAGGAGCTGCATGAGTTAAGCATGATGGTGCTTGCCGTTTCCCTCCATCCTCCACAGGCTGAGGCAGGAAGGAAGGTCAGGAGTCCAAGGTCATCCTTAGCTACATAGTGGAATGGAGCCCCTCACACACACAAACACACAGAAATAAAACAAAAATAGCTTGACACGGTGATACAAGTGCTTTAACTCCAGCACTCAGAAGTCGGAGGCAGCTTTATCTCTGAGTTTGAGGCCTCCTGCTCTGCAGAGCTAGTTCCAGGACAGCCAGGCCTACACAGAGAAAACCTGTGTCAAAACAAATAAACAAACAAAACCCAATAGATAAATACTTTTTTAAAAAACTCAAAGGAAAGGAATTACAAATGACTGAGTTTCACCCCTGATGTAAATGCTATCTCAGATGAGCCACCCTTCAAGGACTCGGTAGCCATTCTTGGCCTATGGTTCCCTGAGGGGGCTCCTTAGCCTATGTCCTCCCCAGCAGGCATGACAGACAGGCAACCAGCTGACCCCAGTGGACCTGGCTACAGCAGGGTTCAGGGTGCTAGCGACAGATGCCAGGGAGAGACAGAATGGATTCGGGCTTAGCAGCTAAACCAGGACCCGTGAGGGAGAAATTAACGAGGGAGAATGGGAAGAGGACGGAGGCACGGAACCAGTCAAGCGGCAGAATGCCCTCCACCCCTCTCCTCAGGAGTTCCCCTTTCTTTCCCAGGGCGACCTCCATGCTGAACTGTGCTTCCTTTACTGGTTCCACAACCAGTTCCTGGAAGAGTCCCCCGGTGACGAGTACAGGATCACGTGGTACCTGTCCTGGAGCCCCTGCTGCGACTGCGCGGAGCAGGTAGCCAGGTTCCTGGCCACACACCGCAACCTGCGCCTGGCCATCTTCAGCGCCCGTCTGTACTACTTCTGGGACCCACATTACCAGGAGAAGCTTCGCAGGCTGACTCAGGAAGGAGCCCGGATGGTCGCCATGGACTACCCAGGTGAGGGGTGGGCATCGGTACCCTCGGATCTGCCAGGCAGTGAAGGAGTTGGGCCTGGGGAGCCAGCCTCAAGGGAGGGATTGTGGAGGGTCCTGCTGGGCCCTGACTGCCTTCTCTCCTCCTCTGTCTCAGAATTTAAAAAGTGTTGGGACAAGTTTGTGTACAATGGTGGACAGCCATTCAGGCCTTGGAAGAGACTGAAAATAAATTTTAGTTTCTACGATTCCAAGCTTCAGGAGATTCTCAGGTGAGGGGCTTTCTCGTGTTTGGCCACGCCTCCCCTTTTCTCCCTCCTCCCAGACCCCTTCTCTTTTGGGGGCATCTTTACCCACAATACCTCCCCACCCCTCACCCTTGTGTCTCCCAGCCGTGACACCATGATTGAATCCTGTTGCAAGTGAATTGGTGTATGTATATAAGCATGGAGAAACCCCATCAGGGCAGCCTTGAGAGTCCAGAGAGATGGCTCAGCAGTTAAGAGCACTGACTGTTCTTCCAGAGGACCTGGGTTCGGTTCCCAGCACCCACATGGTGACTCGCAGCTGTCTGTAACTATAGTTTCAGGCGAGTCTCATGCACACATGCAGGCAAAACACCAATGCGCACAGACATTAAGAGGCGGGAGCAGCCTTGAGTGCTCAGAGGGAGAGGCCGTCGGATCCCCAGCTACTGGAACATTGCTCAGCAGACACTCAGCCAGCCCGTTATGGTCTCTCCAGGCCCAAGAGGCTGCCAGGAAGTTTTTTCTCAGGCTCTCCCCTGGCTTGCAGATGCCCTCTTCTTGTTGAGTCTCTCTGTGCCCTATGGTCCTTCCTTCCTACCGTCCCTCTGTCCAAAGTCCCTCTTCCCATAAATCTGTTTTTTATCTTGGATCTGGACCCACCTAAATGTCTGGCCTTCAAATACCAGTTCCATTCTGAGTCCTAAGGTGTAGGGCCTTGAGCTTGAGCCTCTCACAATGGCTAAGAGGCTTCTTTGTGGGTCCAGACTACCGTGTCCTCACTCTGGCTGTTAGCACCCCAGGAGAATCTCTGACCGTGCCCTGTCACCCGCTTCCATTTTCCAGACCTTACTATACTCTGGAGCCCTTCCTCTTGTTCACCCACTCTGTCAAATGTCTGTCTGATAAAATGTTCCCACAAGCAAAGTTCTGGGTGGGGTGCAGGTGAGCCATGGGGACTGAGCAAAAAGTGGAGTGTACTTACAGACGATGCTGGGGGGGGGGAGAGGGCTTGAGGAACAGAATGGGGAAGAGAAGAAGAAACTGCTCTGTGGGCAAAGGGACTTGCCATTGCAAGCTTTGTGACATGAGTTTGACCCCTGGGACCTACAAAAAGGTGGAAGGAGAGAAACAACTTTACAGGGTTGCCCTTTGACCTCTACCCTTAGGCTGTGGTACGTGAGCACCTACATTATATACATGCATAAACACACACAACAGTAATAATAATAATAGTAGGAGTAACAAATAAGTACTTTTAAGGGTAGAAAGCCGGCCATCAGGGACAGCCGGGGGATGCACCTGTAGGACTGGGAAGGATGGGAAGTGAGACCAGGGGCAGGCATTTGGGAGAAGCTCAGGGGACGGGGTTGATAGACTGACCATGGACAATAGCCCTTGGCGCTTCCCCTGCCGGTTCATGACAGCGTGAGAAGCAAGAGCTCAGCTTGACGCAGATGGCTCTAGGCAGATAGACACAGAGGTGGCGGTCACCGTGGGAGGGCCCTAGCCCCATCCTCCTCTGGGGGCTGTTGGCGAGTCATCTGAGGGTAACCTCCAGGGGTTCTCTGGCTGAGTCAGCACGTCTGACTTCCAAATCTCCCCCCCCCCCCCCCCCCCCCCCGCCTCAGAGGAGAAGTACAGAGGGGTTCTGATTCGGCCTCATGATCCACCGTCCTAGTCATCAACACTGGCCCAAATGATCATGACTGTTTCTTGATTTTTGGAAACCAAAAACCCGTCCTTGAGACCCACCCCCAGGCATCCGGTAGCCTCCTGAGCCTGGCATGGCGCCCCGGCTGGCATATCTCCTGTCTTCCCTGGCTCACAGAGTTGGTGTGTTTTTGTTCCTCACAGGGCCTCTCAAGGCCGGAGACATGAGAATATTCTCTAGGGAGAAGCCAGGGTTCCACCCTTTGATGTGGGAGATACTTCAGCTTCTGGCATGGCTAAGATGCTCAGTGTACAGATGTGGCCTCTTCCTAAAAGGACCCGGCTCGTCCTGGAGTCTTCCTCAGACCCTGGCTCCAGGACAGATGGGGGAGGAGGGGCTCTCTCAGCTCTGGCCTGAGCCAGGGCAGGATGGAGGATGAGAGCGGGGAGGAGGCCTGCCGGGGACTCCTGTTCATGTGAGAGCCAGGCCCTGAGGTGACAGCTTTCACAGAACCTTCTTTGTATTTTCTAATCTGAGGATCCTTGGTTGTGACTTGCCAAAGCAGGCCAACAGCTTCAGGAATGTGAACTTGAAGTCCATGTCCTTGTAGCTTAAACCTGGCAGGCCCTGTGGGGGGCACCTCTTCCCCAGCCCTCTACTTCTGCTACTTCCCTGGGAACAATGAGGGCCACAGAATCGGCAGCTGGAGGAGGAGGAAGCACATCCGCAGACCTGGCCAGTGCTCCCACCATGTTGTTTAGCTATGTGTCCTCAAGAGACAGTCTCAGCCTCTCTGTGCTCGAGACCTCTTCTGAGACGTCAGAGCCATGACATCTGCCCCCGCTGTATTGTTGGGATAGCAGACAGAAGGCAGAAGGTTCAGTTTGTGAGGAGAGTACCATCTCCCGTTCTGGCATTTATTTCCTCTTTCCATTTGGATCCCTGTTCAGACCACATGGGCAGAACTGCTTAGGCTAGGCCCTGTTTTGCTGAGCCAAAGGACAATGGAAAGGAAAGGGAGCCCGAGATAGAGCCAGCCCAACTGTCCTGGGCCCTCCTGTTTCAGGGCGGGACCTGTAGCTCACTGTCAGGGTCTCAGAGAAGGAGCTGACTAAGCAGGAAGTGGAGGCCCAGACTGAAGGACCCAGAGCAAGGCTAGGACCAACCTGCTCAGGATACCTGTCCCCACAGGATGTCTCAGAGAAGGTATGTGGGAAGCTCAAGAGCAGAGAAGATGGACAGGACCCACAGAGAGTAGGAAAAGAGAGGAACAGCTGGTCAGAGGCAGGTGGATCTCTAAGTTCGAGGCCAGCCTGGTCCAAGAGCTAGTTCTAGGATAGCCAAGTCTACACAAAGATTCTCTGGTGGGGGTTGGGAGGTCCCACCCAGAGACTCTGTAGGAGTGAGCGAGGTCACACAGCTGCTGTTTGGGAGCCCAGTCACAAACCAGGGACTTTCCCAAGGCCACAGGCCACCTCAAGAGAGAAGCAAAGCGCCAAACAGTGCCTAATGCAAGGGGAGGTGGCTGGGGCAGCTGCCTTGCTCGCCCCCCACCCTAGGCTCCGCCCCTCAGAGAACCCCGCTGTTTCCCCACTTGTGTGCTTTTAGGAGCCTTGCGTTACTTTTGTATTTTTCATACGTCTTTATAATTCTTCAGTCAATGCACGAACCGACAGGTTCAGTTACGGTGTTTTCCCAAGTGTGTATCACTACAGTTGGCGCACACACCTCTTGTCCCCTCCCTCACCACAAACGGTCTCCCTCCCGCTTTCACACGTACACGCATACACACACACACGCACACGCACACGCACACACACGTGTATACGAATGAGGCACCCTGGCTTTGCATTTCTGTCTGGCGTCCTCGCTTAGTCCCCAGGGGCATCCGTTTACCTGTAAAGCTCGTCCTCCCTGCTGTCTGGCTGAGGAAGCCTCCACTGCGTATCCAGGCTCCCCTTTCTTCATCCAGTCTTCTGCTGATGGACACACCTACGCTGCCCCCGTGTTTTGTGTCTGGGTCACACGCTATTTTAGCCCTTGGTCGTCTGCTGTCCCATAGTGACTACGCTAGGGTGTATTCCTCCCCCCCCCTCCCGCATACACGGAGGGGCCTCTCCCCATATGCCCTTTCCTCGCCAACGTCTGTTGCCAGTCATTTTTTCTTAATTTAATTTGTCTGTTTGTTTGTTTAGCTCTTTTAGACAGTCTCTCACCGGGTAGCCCTGGCTAGCCTGGGGCTCTCCTAGATCAGGCTGCTCTCCGGCTTGCTACAATCCTCCTGCCTCTGCTGCCCACGTGCCGGGATTGTAGGCATGAGCTATTGCTGAGTGAGACGGAAACTCAATCTGTAGGTTGTGGGTTGTGAGGCCTGTATAACGTATATATGTGTTCATGTGTGTGCACGAGCGTGTGGTGTGTGGCCAATGGTCGGGAGGTCTGAGAAATGCTAGGTGCGTCCCTCGGTTGCTCCCTACCTTAGTTTTTGAGACGGGTTTCATTGAGTTGGCTGCGTGCTTGGGATAGCCAGCTCCAAGGACAACCTGGACCAAGCAGTGCTGGGATTTCAGCCTCTACAGACGGCTTTTTGCGTGGGTGCTAGGGATCTCAACCCAGAACCTCATGCTCACACAGCGAGCATCTCACTAGCTTTGTGATCGCCCAGGCCTCAGTTCGGTTTTGATTTACATTTCCCTACTGGCTAAAGATGCTGAACTTTTTTTTTTTTTTTCATCCTTTGTAGTTCTTTTGAGAAATGTCTTTTCTCTTTATTTCTCACTTAGTGATTGGATAGTGGGGTTTTGGTGTTTAGTTTTTGGTTTTTTGTTTTTAGCTCTTTTTATCTTCGACATATGAATCCTTTGTTAGATGCATGACTTGGCAAAGATCCTCTCCCATTCTAGATAAGAGTCTCAATCCATTTTTTTGTGTTGTGTGTGTGTGCTGGTAAGTGGGTGCCACGGAGCACATGGAGAGGTCAGGGGACAACTTGTGAGAGTCAGTTCTCTTATACTCTGTGGGTGTGGCCTTTCTCTCTGAGACATGAGTACACACACACACACGCACACACACACACACATGGCACAGATGCCTTCAGGTACCCTGGGGAAAACCCTGGCTCCTCAAGGGCTCCAAGGTAGGAGAAACAGAAGAACAATGTGGAGACAAAATTCTCCAGTCCCCACAAAGTGTACCAAGTAATACACACACACACACACACCACTGCATAAATTAAAATGAAATGAATCTCATCTTAGTAGGACCTGCCTGGTGATGGTGTGTGGGCCCAGACCTCTTGCTGTCCCGGAACTCCTTCTGTAGACCAGGCTGGTCTTGAACTCACAGATTCACCTGCTCATGCCTCCCGAGCGGTGGGGCTAAAGGTGTGCGCCACCGCTGCGCGTCTGTGGCACAGACCTTTAATCCTTGCACCAAGAGGTGGATCTCTGCGTTAAAGGCTAACCTGATCTACATGGTGAGTTTTAGGTCAGCCAGAGCTACACAGTGAGACCCTGCGTTTAAAAGCCAGAAATCTGCCTGGTGGGCACAGGCTGGGATGGGTGTAAGTGAATCGTGGGTCCTTTTGAAAAGAAAGCATAAGTGCACCAGTGGCTTACTGTTGGAACAGGGCTGTCCTGCCTGTCACCTCGAGCACTTTGGATGTCATAGGAGGAGCCCACAGCGTGTCCACCCCAGGGTCTGGCCACCCTTCTTGCCCCTTTATTATCCTTGGTTTAGACTCATAAGACTTGGTGGTTGAATACACTGAAGGACAATGTGTCCTACCGGGCTCTTTCCGCGCCGCTAATAACCCAGGTGTTTCTGGTCCGATTGCTATTTGGGTGCTGTGTGTGCACTCACGCATGCACGCGCCCACACCCACACCCACACTTCTTGGCAGGCGAGGGGCTTGGTCTCACATGAGTCTTCCGATGACAGAATGTTACCTTCCAGGAAGATCTGGCCAAGAGGAGAAAAGTCTGGGGAGCACAGGGATAGCTTGGTGGTTCAAAGCGCCAGCTGCTCTTGAAGAGGGACCTTGCACTCAGCACCAGGCAGCTCATAATTGCCTGTAGCTCAGTTTTCAGATCTGACACCCTCTCCGGTCCTCAGCAGGCACCTGCACGCACCCGTGGACGCATATCCACCTTTCCCCACATAATTAAAATTAAAAGTGAAAACTAAAATCTTTTTTTTTAAACTATAACCTTTTTTTTTTTTTTAAAAAAAAAAAATAAAGTTTCATTGATCTCAGGCAATGAACTTAACCTTGGGCAGGGGAAGGTAAACACAGAAGGGCAAAGTCTTACCTATGGAAGGTGTGCGGTTCCCCCTGAGAACGTGGGGTCACTTGGTCCTGATAAGCAGGCAGGGCAGAGAGCAGACTGGAATGGAAACTGGCGTTTTGGTCTGGTGACTGCGGGGCTGGGCGCAGATTGTTTGGCCTCTTCACACCGTTTCTCAGAGGACGGACACCTCCCTCCAACAGACCTCCCTAAGAAACAAAGGGATGGCCTTTGTCCCCCCCGTAGTCTGTAGTCTTGGGAATTGGGCCTTTCCTGCCTGGGATTTAAGACGGGCCGTTGCCCCTAGGTTTGACATTTATTCAATTGCTTCCCCTTCAGCAGGCCCGTTTTTCCTTTTGAGAGTTAAGTTGGGTGAGCTGGGCCAAAAAAAAAAAAAGCAGCTACCCAAAATGTCCCATCCTTCTTAAGGCCTTAAGAATCTCACCAAACTTTACATGTGGTGAGGTTGCTTTTTTTTTTTTTTTTTTAATGTATAAATGTTTTCCTTGCACTTACATAAATGCACCAGCATACCCTGCCTGTAGGGAGCGGAAGAGGATACCGGATACTCTGGAACTGGCGTTCCAGAAGGCTGCTAGCCATCACGTCATCACGTGGGTGCTGGCAGCCGAGCCTGGGTCCTTTGCAAGGGTAGCGAGTGCTCTTAACCACTGAGTCAGTCACCTGGAGCCCTTCAGGTGGTGAGTGAGTTTCTGCAGGTCTGAATCTTGACAGAGAAGCACGAAAGCCAGAAAACAGGGAATTCCTGGACACTTGGGAGGACAGGGAGGAGGAAGATGGCTCAGGGCGTATGAGTATTTGCTTTGCAAGCATGAAGACCTGAGTTCAAATTCCAGTACCCATGTTAAAAGGGGGGGGGCAATACTACACATGGTCATAGCCCCAGCACTGGGTGTTGAAGATGGCCAGATCCCAGGAACTCACCAGCCAAGCAGTGTAGACTAAATGGACGACAGATGAGGATACCCAGGGTCCTGCTCTGGCCTCCACATGGGCACACACAGTGCGCACGTCCGCATACATGTACCAGACAAAGGAGGAGCTGCACAGTGGGACCTCGGAGGACCATGTAGGTCTCCTGGTCTGGGAGAGGACACTATGATCTGCTGACATGACACAGGAAGCTGGACAGCTGCAGAGTCTGAAAGTCAGATGTATTCTAGTTTAAAATAAAGCAACCTAAGACAGAGGGTGACTGTCCAATGGTGGGAAAGTTTGCCAATCAACGGAAGATGGAGTCGCAAGCAGAGGTCAAAGGGTTGGGGGCTCACTGCAGAGAAGCGTCGAGGAAAGGCAGGCAAGAAGGGAAAGTTAAGAGGTCTGACTCCAGGCCGCAGGCACAGATTCACTGGAGACAAGCTGCCATCCGTGCCACACTCAGAAATCAGGGGCTGAGACATAAGAATGGTGTGTTCCACAGGCGGGAAGGAGAGAGGGAAAGATACCCGGGACACACATATTCACCCAGGATGACCTGGCCTTCCCGTATTTGAACTGGGAAGTGAAATGGCAGAAAAGAAACAGTCCCCCCTCCCTTCTGGGCTAAGGGAGGACCACCTTGTCCCAGAGTTGCTTTGGCCAGAAACCATCAAGTTGCCAGCGGGAGGAAGGCCTTTGATTAAGGAGGCTGGGTCACTCATCCCTGAGAGCTGAGTTTCCTTGTCCACGTAAGAGCAGGACCCATCAGATGTCCCTAGTCCCACACAAAGAGTAGCCCCCCAAAAAAAAAAAATCCACGCCTTCACTCCAAAGGCAATGGAGTGTGCTGGAGCCCAGGCACCAGGGGAACAGCCCTGGCTAGCGTCAGCGCTTGATGCCACTCACCAAGGGCTTCGAGGAAAGAGAAACAAGAACAGCGAGGAGGCCATGTGGGGATGTGATGATGAAGAAGGTGTCAAAAGCACAGGAGGATAATTCATTGCCTTGGCTGCTGCAGGTAAGGCAACAGGAACTGCAGAGGTGCTCCATAGGGCTCCCTCTTCAGGGAGGGTCTATGCGGACAGTCAGGAAAGTGACGTCATGTAGGGACACCAATTCAAGTTCAGACTTAGTGCCGGCAAGATGTCTGAGTAGGCAAAGGGGCCAACCCGATGAGTCACACGGTGGAAGGAAGGGACCGGCTCCTGCATGCTAACCTCTGACCTCCGCATGCACGCTATGACATTTATGCGCACTGCTCATAGGTAAATAAACCTAAAGCGTGTTCTTAAATGGTTCAGCGTGACCGCCTAGCCTAAATGGCATTCCCGGGGAGTCTGGAGGCAAGGTGCAGGGTGGTAGGGAAAATTTTCCCCCCAGTGCACCCGCATCGTTCCCCTCGTTAGCCCCGAGGTCACGTTCTCAGGCCTTCACGTGTGTGTTTCTGTTTTGTTTCTTGTACGGTAGCCCAGGGAGCCTGCTACGGGAAGAAGTGTTTCGAGTGCAGTTTAGTAACAGTCAGAGGGCCGTGCCAATCCAGCCGGGCCGCTACTGCCGCAGGAAGACCTACCTGTGCTACCAGCTGGAGCAGCCCGGTGCCCAAGAGCCACTCAAAGGCTGCCTGCAAAACAAGGTATCGGTCGGGAGAGGCAGCCGGGGACGTCCCCCTCCGATAGCTACATCACCAACACCTGAGTCCCAACTTCCACTTCCTTCTTTCTCACACACTGCTGGTCACTCTTTCCTGCTGGTCCTGGTTCTTGCCCTCGAGTAGGACACTCTCCTGCCCCTCAGGTGCACTCAGTGTCTGACCATCCTCCCAGCTCAGCTTTTTTTTTTTTTTTTACTGTCTTGGAGAAACAATGTACCATCCACAGTGGCATCTTCGCGGCTGTCTTCCAGACTGCCTGCCCCTCCCTTTTCCTACAGCTAGCTCTTCCGCGTCCTGATTAAAACATCGGGAGTTTTGGAGTGAGTGGCACACGCCTTTGATCCCCGACACTCAAGAGGCAGAGGCAGGTGGAGCTCTCTGAGTTCTGGGCCAGCCTGGTCTACAGAGTTAGAGCCAGAGCTACAGAGAGACCCTATCTCCAGGGAGAAAAGAGAGAATGAATGAATGAATGAATAAGTATATAAGTGGGTGAATGCAGAAAGAAAGGGCTCTCCCTGTGCTGACATTAGGAAATTCACAAGACAGAACCCCTGGTCTCCAAGCTTACCAGCAACCACATAACATCTGGCTTCTGCCTTCTAACTCTTCTCTCGGCCTGGACTCCCCTCAGAAAGGCAAACATGCAGAAATCCGCCTCATTGATGAGATGCGTTCCCTGGGGCTGGGCAAAGCGCAGATTACCTGCTACCTCACGTGGAGTCCCTGCAGGAAGTGTGCCCAGGAACTGGCTACATTCAAAAAGGATCACCCAGACCTGGTTCTGCGCATCTACGCCTCCCGCCTGTACTTCCACTGGAGCAGGAAGTACCAGAAAGGGCTGTGCTTCCTGTGGCTCTCAGGGATCCACATAGACGTCATGGACCTCCCGCGTAAGAAGGGGCCACAGCCACCAGTGGGCAAAGGTCTCTAGGCTCCGAGAGGACAAGCCCTGGGCCAGGAGGATGGGGAAAAAGCTGGCAGGAAGGGAGAATGCTGGCCCTATTGAGGCCTCTGCAAGGCCTGGGGCCTCACTAGCTACCCTCTTCTCCATCTCAGAGTTTACTGACTGCTGGACAAACTTCGTGAACCCTCAAAGGCTGTTCAAGCCGTGGCATGGACTGGAAAAAAACAGCCAGAGCATAAAAAGGAGGCTGAGGAGGATCAAGGAGGTAAGAACTGTGCTACAGACCCTGCCTCCTAGCGCAGGCTCCGCCCCTTCAGCATACCCCGCCCTGTTAGAGGCCCCATCCTCCGCGGCAGCCCTCCGACAGTCCAGGCTTCCTGCTGCAGACTCTCTCTTTCCCCGTGCCTTGGACCCCATACTTCACCCTCCCCAAAGCCAGGCCTCTCATCTCCAGACATCTGTTCTCGGTCCTGTCTTCTCTCCCTCAGGCACTTTCCTCAGCTCTCTGTCCCTGTTGTTAACTTGAACATCCCTTTCCTCAAACCCATTGGCACACCCTAATTTCTCTCTCTCTCAACAGTCCTGGAATCTGCAAGATTTGATAAATGATTTTGAAAAACTACAACTTGGACCCCCGTTGCCCTGAATGGCAAGAAGAGATTCAAGACAGTCTCTAGACGGCCTTTGGGTTCTACCCCAATCCCAAGTCTAGAAGATCTTGCTCTCCTGTTTTAATTTTTCCTTTTGGTTTTTTGTTGTTTTGTTTTGTTTTTTTTTTTGAGGACAGGGTCTCACTGTGTAGCCTGCTTCTCTGGAACTCACTATTGGAACAGGCTGGCCTTAAACTCAAAGATCCACTTGCTTCTGCCCTCTAGTGCTAGGAATAAAGCATGCTCCACTGTTCTGGGCCTTCCTTTCCTTCCTTGTTCTTTTATTTTCTCTCTCTCTCTTTCTCTCTCTCTCTCTCTTCTCTCTCTCTCTCTCTGGTTTTTCAAGACAGGGTTTCTCTGTGTAGCCTTGACTGTCCAGGATGGCCTCAAACTCACAGTGATCCACCTGCCTCTGCCTCCTCCAAGTGCTGGGATTACAGGCGTGTGCCACAGCACCGAACTCTTAATTCTCATTTTATCTCCCCCTCCACCCCCATCGATAGGTGCTTAATTTTGTAAGTGAAAAATTTAAGTTGGGCCAGGCTTGGTGAAGCATGCCTTTAATCCCAGGACTCAGGTGGCAAAGGCAGGAGGATCTCTGTGAGTTTGAGACCAGCCTCATCTGCATGGTGAGCTCCAGGACTATACAAACAGACCCAGTCTCAAACAAACAAACAAATAAATAGGGAGAAGAAAAAGAAAAAAAAATTAAGTTGGTCTTGATGCGCCCTGTCTGTTTAAGGCAAGAGGATTGTCACAAGTTTGAGGTCATCCTGGGCTATATATAATGAGATCCTGTCTCAAAAAATAGAATTGTTAGGGGATGGTTTGGTGCTATGCATTCAAATGCTAAATTACTGGCTTCCAAGATCTGACTGCAGCTCATTCTCACATATACCAAGTGATGTTGTGTAAACTTTGCTCGCCAATATTATCTGACTGGTTAAATAAAGTTGCTGAGAGCCTGTAACTGGGCAGAAGTAGGCAGAGCTTGGGTTCCTGGGCTTGGGGGTCAGATAGGGACCACAAGGCTAGGAGGAGAGAAAGGAAGCAGAGGATGTAGCAGGAGGTGAAGAACCTGGAGGGAAGGAAGTCATGGGGAGTATGGACCTTGAGCATGTGGCCTTGAGAGCTGGCCTGATGGAACAGAGGCAGCCCAGGCAGGAACAATTATGGCAGGTAACTGGAGGGTGTGTTGCTGGGAAATAGCAAAATAGCTTAGGGGGGTTGGTATCTGCCCAGTTACTATGCTTTAAAGCTTTCATAAATCCAAGAGGTTCTCAGTCTCGATTATTTGGGAAATAACTCGGATAGAGAAGCCCTCTAGAGTCTAGTAATCCTTCTAAAACTAAAATCAAGAGGGGAAAAAAAAAGTCTTAAAATCCAAAAAACCTGTGTTTGTTACTAAGAAAGTAGACAGCCAGGCCTCTCACCTGTCCCAGGGAGAATGACAAGAAAGGGAGCTGGAGAGACGGCTTGCTGCTCTTGAAGATCCCAGCACCCTCCTCTGGCAGCTCACAACTGCTCTATTTCCAGCTCCAGGGTATCTGATGCTCTCTCCTGGACTCTGTGAGCACCCCTCATCTACACGCACATACACATAAGTCAAAGGGGAAAAGGGACAAAAAGTCTGTGGGCAAGTGTGGGACAGTGAGATTATTTTAACTGTGTCCTGTTCCTTCCAAATCTCTACTATGTGTCTCGATAGAATAAGCCAGGCTTGGTGCTATACCCCTGCAGTCCTGTGTGCTGCAGAGGCTGAGGCAGGAGGATCTCAATCAGGTACTGGCCTCAATCAAGGCCAGCCTGGACAATTTGGTGACAGCTGTCTCCGCCAACAAAATGAGCCAATTCGAGCCAAACTCAAGTAGAAAAGGCAGGTTTATTGGGAGCAGCTCTCGGATGGGTCCACTGGTCCCAGGGACCCCGTGCTGGGCAGCTCAGAGTTGTCTGTGGCTACAGGCCCCCAGGGGATCTAACATCCTCTTCTGGCCTTTGAGGGCCTCTGCACACACATGGCATCCACTGAGCTCGACACATGCGTACACATAGAGAGAAATAAATCTCTTTATAAAAAGATAGCAGTCAATAGGGGCTGAGAGAGGGCTCAGACCCAAGTGGGCTGCTCTTTGTAGAGGCTGCAAGTTGAATTCCCAGTATCCACAACCACCTCCAACTCTTGCTCCAGGGTGACCTGACTCCTCTGGCCTCCATGGGCACCTAAATCATAGGCACAGACTCACATACACAAAATTTAAAATTTTTCTTACTTTTTTTGTTGGTTTGTTTTTTGTTTTGTTTTTGTTTTCCAGACAGGGTTTCTCTGTGTAGCCCTGATTGTCCTGGAACTCACTCTGTAGAACAGGCTGGCCTCAAATTCAGAGATCTGCCTGCCTCTGCCTCCACTGTTCCTACATAATTAAATTTATGAAGGAAAAACCATCTGAAATCTCAGACTGGGCTGGAATAGTTGGTAGCATAAGATGGTCCATGCTTGGTCTAATTTTGTCCATATCTTGTTTCTCCCAAAGCTGAGAGTGTCTGTGTGACTTAACTGTACCTGTAAGGAGACACCTACTAGGACAGCATTCTGGTTTTAGACTCAGACAGACTTTGGGCCTATTTGATTAGATGAGATCTAAACTATCTCTCTGTGTGTGTAATGTGCATTGTATTGGTAAATTATTGCATGCTAATAGAGCTCTTTGAGAATCTGGCTCTGAAGGCAGGATTGCTCCTTCAACTTCAGACATAAGCATGTTTATGCCAAATGTCCCCCTCGTCTAGGGATGGACTGGCCCCATAACTGTGAAAACAGAGGATAGGCTAGAATGCCAGCCATTTCCAACAGAGGCTTCTGCTGCTCATCCCACAGTAGAAAAGTGTTCAAGCTCTACTTTTTGCTAGATGTTTACTAAATAAACTTAAAGGGCAGCCTTCAATCCCAGGACTCAGAAAGCAGAGTCTCTGTGAGTTCAAGGCCAGCGTGGTCTACAAAGTGAGTTCCAGGAGAGCCAGGGCTACACAGAGAAAACTTGTCTCTGAAAAAACAGAAAGAAAGAAAAGGAAGGAAGGAAGGAAGGAAGGAAGGAAGGAAGGAAGGAAGGAAGGAAGGAAAGAAAGAGGAAAGCAGAGAAGCCAGGCCCAGTGATGCTCGCTGTAGTCCCAGCACTCAGGCAGGCAGAGGTAGGTGGTCTCTGAGTTAGAGGTCAGCCTGGTCTACAAAGCGAGTCCATGACAGCCAGGGCTACACAGAGAAACTCTGTCTCAAAGAACCAAAAATAAAAAAGAAGAAAGGAAGCAAAGAAAGAAAGCAAACTCAGATGGCTCTGTCCAGGGCTCTATGACAGAAACTTTCCCAGTTGGTTTTGCTGGATGTTTACTAACTTACTAAACTTACTCATTAAACCAAAACTGTGGTTACTGGAGATCATTCTCAGGACCATACAGAACCATAGGAAATCATAACAGATAAAGCAGGGAGGCAACAAGCCGGGGAAAAAAGACTTAAGATGCATACACAATGCAAGGAGGCAGTTTCCCACAAAAGAGCACCTAAAAAACAACCCACAACCCACGGGGGAGGGGTGTTGCCTCATGCGCCCCTCCCCCACGAGGCAACACCCCTCCCCGGGATCCATCAGCAAACATGTGCAAACCAGTAAGCAGCCCTCACCATACCCAAGCGGCACCTCCCTGTTGGACTCTATCCTTCCTCTCTCTGGAACTGTGGGAGGGAGGAACATGTTTAAACCGACAGTGTGGGGAGCAGCCTGCACGGAGATGCTCACAATCACCCTCCACTCAGAACGAAACCCACACCTGCAGGATGCTCTGCCTGCTGACTCTAACATCATTGTTTGTCTCACTTCCTACCACGGCTGGGGGCTCCTCGGACACCAAGCGGAGCTATTTGGCCTCTGAAGAAACCCAGAAGGCTGAGAATCTTCACTCCAGATGCCCCAACTAATGAGAAATAGCTGAGCGACAGAGGATGAGCAACCAGCTCCTGAATCCCAGACTTCTGAGGAATGTCTTGTTGTTGTTGTTTTGTTTGGTTTGGTTTTTGTTGTCTTGGTTTTTGAGACAGGATTTTTCTGTATAAGATAGACCTGTCTATCTTAGAACTCACTCTGTAGACAAGACCGGCCTCATACTCAGAGATCTGCCTGCCTCTTCCTCCCCAGTGCTGGGATTATAGGCATGTGCTATCACACCAGGCCTGATGGACAATTTTTTAAAGAGTTTTTGTTTGTTTTTTTTCCTATCAAGTCAAGGTCTTCTGCAGCTTAGACCAGCTTCAAACTTACTATGTTTTATTTTGTTTTGTTTTGGTTTGGTTTTTGGTTTTTGGAAACAGGGTTTCTCTGTGAAGCTCTGGCTATCCTGTACTCTTTTTGTAGACCAGGCTGGCCTTGAACTCACAGAGATCTTCCTGCCTCTGCCTCCCTGGTGGGTACAACCGTGCCATCTTATGTGGTGCTAGGTACTGAACCCAGGGCCTTGTGCATGCTAGGCAAGGAGTGTACCAACTGAGCTACATCCCCAGCCCTTAAGACGCTTTTTTCACTTCTCAAAACTCCAGGCAGAACGAAGCCCAGCATCGGAGGGCTTGCCCAGCATCCAGTGTTTGCCTCCCAGGCATGAGACCTCAGTTTCCATGCACCACAAACAGTCCAGGGGACTCGGCCAGACTAGCCTGCAGTCAGTCAACAAAGGCCAGGCTTCGAGAGCCAGAGGCCTTTCTCCCTAAAGGAGATGGGGGGGGGGGGCAGCTTGAGCTCACAGCTTTCTGCATGCATGAAGATGAAGCTCTGGCTCTGACAGTGTCGGCCTGAGAGCCTGTGGGGGAACGGAACAGGTCTTAGCTCTTTTTCTATCACTGTGATAAATGAACAGCATGACCAAAAGCAACTTGGGAGGAAAGGGTTTATTTGGCTTATACATCCCGATCACAGTCCATCAAAGAAGAGAAGCCAAGGCAGGAACCCGAGGCAGGAACTGAAACACAGGCCACGAGAGCATGCTGCTTAGCCATTTCCTCCCCGTAGCTTGTTCAATCCCAATCCGCTTCCTTCCTTCCTTCCTTCCTTCCTTCCTTCCTTCCTTCCTTCCTTCCTTCCTTAACTTATTTTATTCTCTGTGCATCGGTATGAAGGTTTCAGAGTCTGTGGAACTGGAGTTATGGGCAGTTGTGGGCTGCCATGTGGGTGCTGGGAATTGAACCCAGGTCCTTTGGTAGAGCACCACTGAGCCATCTCTCCAGCCCCTGGTCTGCTTTCTTATACATCCTAGAACTACCTGCCCAGTGGCGGCACCACATACAGAGGGCCAGGCCTCTCACACCGATCCTCAATCAAGGAAATGTCTCACAGGCTTGCCCACAGGCCAATCTGATGGGTGCATTTCCTCAGTAAAAGTTCCCTCACTCCAGACGACTGTGACTTGTGTCAGCGTGACAAAACCCAGTGTGACAGGGCGCCACACTCCTCACCTGTCCGACTGCCCCGAGAAGGCCCAGCTGCATCATCCCTGGTGACTAGGAGAATGCCTCCCAGGGATACATGCCCCACAAGGGAAGGGATACTTCCCTTCCCCGCTGGCTATCAGCTCAGACGGCACTTAGAACAGCCTCACTCCCGACGATGCCGTAGCTGGAGTGTGCCAAAAGGACACGAGAACGGTGCCAGCCCAGCAGGCACCATGGAACAGAGGCCTGCTGCCCACAGGATGTCACAGGCTGGCCAGGACACCGGGTACCAGTCCCAGCACAGTGAAGCTTGGACGTGAAGACAGCTTCCATCCCCCCTCCACTCTGTACTTGTGATTGCTGAAAAGAATGAGCTGGTGCACCCCCTCTCGGGTGATGTGGGAGACGGCGCTCTGGCCTCCCACCCCACAGGCACTTTGGAACTCCCTCTCAGCCCGGGGAGATTCGGTGTAAAGGTGAGGTGATCTCAAGGTGGCAGGAAGTTCTGGGTGGATTCAATGTGGACAATGCCAGCCCCGGCCCTGTTAATTTCCTCCTCCCTCTCTCCTTTTCAATTCCTTCTCTTTTACCTTTCATTTTTTTGATAAAAGCCTCACATAGCCCAGGCCGGTTTCAAAACCCCTACATTTCTTGTGCCAGGAAGTGGTGGCCCACACCTTTAATCCCAGCACTCAGGAGGCAGAAGCAGGTGTTTCTCTGAGTTCGAAGCCAGTCTGGTCTACAGAGCCTGTTCCAGGACATAGCCAAGGATGACCTTCAGCTCCTTGATCCTCCTGCCTCCAAGTATGCAGGGACAGCAGTTATGGGCTACCATCACACCTGGCATTTTCTTTTCTTTCTCTTTTTCTTTTTGTTTTGAGACAGGGTCTATCCTATGTAACCCTCTGACTGACCCATATTCCCTAGTACATCAGGTCAGCTTCAAACCCATAGACTCTGCTTGCCTCTGCTTCCAGAGTGCTAGGAAGTAGTTTGTTTTGGGTTTTGTTTGTTTGTTTGTTTGTTTTTTCAAGACAGGGTTTCTCTGTATAGCTCTGGCTGTTCTGGAACTTGCTCTGTAGACCAGGCTGGCCTCGAACTCATAGAGCTCTGCCTGCGTCTGCCTCCCAAGTGCTGCAACCACCGCCTGGCTCTTAAAGGCACTCAGTACCCTACCTGACTCATACCTGCACTTCAATTTATTTGTTCGTTTGTTTGTTTTAAAAACAGGGTCTCACTATACAGACCAGGCTGGCCTCAAGTTCATGATCCTCCTGCTTCAGTCTCCCCAACACTGAGACGGCACACAAAGCTCTCTTAAGGCTGCGCTGTAGGTTTGTGACCAGCAAAGAGCAAGCACCACAGGGTGAAAGGTGCATTGTCCCTCCATCTGTCGACAGCGGGTGATGCCAGCCTCAGTCCTCACCTAAGCATCTGCCCAATGGCACAGCCACAGGGGCGGGAAGCTGGGCAGTGCAGGCTATGTGACAGTCCAGCAAAGTCTTGCTCTCCCAAAGCTGCCGCAAAGCTATTTAGGGAGACGACTTGTCCCATCTGTCAGAGGCAGGAACTGCTGGCGAGCCCAAAATAATGCTGAGCCTCAAGATGGCCGCCTGCTAGTGTAGTGGCTAGCTGGTCACCCTGGGATGCCTGTTCCTTGAGAGCAGTGGTTCTCAAGCTGTGGGTCAAGACCCCTAAGGGGTGACCTATCAGATATCCTGCATAACACTATGATTCATAACAATAGAATAATTACAGTTTATGAAGCAGCAGTGAAGTAATTGTGTGGTTGGGGGGACCTGCATTAAAGGGTCACGGCATTAGGAAGGGTGACACAGAACCCCTGCTCTAGAGTGACTAGCTTCAACACCTAGCCAGATTTGGGTGCACATCGGCTAGGTCCTTGCTGCCATCTATGGGTGACAAAACACTGGATTTACCGCATAGGCCTTTCTCTTGCAGCAGCTTTCCATCAGCACCAGTCTCCAGGGGAGGAGGTTGCGGCTGTGTGGGCGTGGTCATGAGACTCCATGCCCCGCCCCGTGCAACACTATCCATCCAGGGCAACTGGCCTATGGGGACAACGAGTTGCAGAGCCCAGAGCAGGGGTGGAGGGTGGGGTACCCGTCTGTGCAGATGGCATCTTTGTAAGGTCTAGCACACGTGCCCAGTGAATGCTGCCATATTCAGGAAATGGCGAGGCCTGGAAGCTAGATGGGTCCCTCACACAGAGGAGTTGACCCTTCTCCTTCTGAGGAAGGGAATCAGGCCTTCTTGTTGCCAGAGGAGCAATGCACAGAGAACCTGTAGCTGAAACTCTTGCCCGGGCACTCGTCTCCCAGAATCGGTGGGTCAGACGTAAGAAGCGAAGCTGATACAGTGCTCACCGTGAGGATGCCACTGAGCCTGAGGTCACCGTCTCACATCCAGAAGAGAGGAGCTTGTTGGAACCTGGGCTTGTCTGCGCAGCTGTACGGTTCCAGTCCCCAGTGGTGACTAAGTCAATAGCAGAAGCATGGCCTGGTAAGATGGGTGTAAGACAGTCGGGCCTGCACTCCTCACACGAATACCCTGACCAGTGGAAAGGCCGGCTGAGGGGACTGAAGGAGGGAGAGGAGGACTGTCCGCTGCGACCTTGGGGCCAGGACCAGCTCCAAGGACCACCTCTTCGGAGAGTCCTGAAGAGTGTGGGTTTACTGTGGGGTTGAGCTCGAGCGGGCAGTGGGTACCACACCTTCAGCGGCCATCTTGATGTCATCCTGGCTGTGGATGGCTGTAAGGAAGGTCCCTTTGTAGGTGTCAAGTGACAGCAAGCATCACTTTCTAGTCCAGACTCAGTATAACAGGTGAGTAGTTAGGGAGGCGGACACTAGCGCACAGGGCCACCCAGTGGGGGGCTGGCCTCCCACCCCATTCTTGGGACTGGGCAATGCTGTGTACATCTCCATCTTAGGCACAACTGACCGCAACTGTCCACAAGTGACCTTAGCGTCATCCCCAAGATGCTCCTCTCTCACAGAACATCCTGTAATCCTGGTCTCAGGGGTTATAACTCAGGACACTTCCAAACCTGCTTCTTCTCTGCCTGTCTCTTTGCAGATATGGTCCAACCAATCATCCAGTGTCCAAACTGGAAACTCAGATATGACGCTGGTGTGTGTGCACACGCATGACCCACCCTCACACCCACGGGTGAGTGTCACAATTCTCCTGCTTATGCCCAGCATAAGCATCTCCCCTATACCGACTGCCCCTACTGTGGTCACTGCTCTCCTCTGGCCAGACAACTCCATCAGTGTGACTCTCCTCCCAGTTCCTTTAACTGTAACTGTCCAGTTCCACCCTGCAGGCCAGTGAGAAATGGCAAGGCCCACAGAAGCAGTCCCAGCACCGACGACACTGCAGGGGCCCTCCCCTGACCCACTAGTTTCATTTCTGTTCTCAGTTCATTTTAACTTGTGGCCTAGAGGGTTCGGAAGACCACAGACTACAGCTGGGAGACTTGGGGGTTCAACCTAGGCTGTGGTCCAGGGGGCCACACCGTCAAAAAAAAAACCAACCGGATGCATAGACGTTTTAAAAATCATTTTAATGTATTCTTAATAATTTCTGCCCCATCTACCCGATAAATCATCTAAATAAATAGATGCTATACAGTCTCTTACCAATATCAGTACAAAAATAAACCCACACTCTGAACCTGCTGACTCTCCCCAGAACACAATCCCCAGAGGGGGGGGAAGGCTTGTGCCCGACTCCTCCCAATACATTCATGTAGTCTGAACAAAGCTCGGAGCTCATTCTTGTGCAAAGGAAGCGGTCTTGTGCTGAGACCTGGCGGCCAGGTTCGGCCCGCCACTTATGAAGCAAAAATTGATGCCACCTCACTGACACTGAGCTCCTTCCCCAGTGGGCAGGAGGTGGAACTGGGCAATGAGAGTGCCATCTTACCAGACGATAACCACCCAGCCCAGAGGGGCTCAGCTGTGGCACCAAGGAGTGCCCACACAAGACGTTGAGGCACATCTTCACCCCAACAACCCACAGTGAGGGAAAAGTACCACCCAATCTCTACATTCAAATGGGTGGGGCCAGGGGAAAGATAGGCAGGTGGCTCCCACTCCGAGTACTGGCCTTGTCGGGGGTTAGTGTGTATGTGGGGGAGGAGAAGTATACTGTCCACGTGGGCTTCAGGCAGGAAACCCGTGGAGCCACTCAAACCTGTAGTCATTCTCCCTTGGAGGCCAGTCCCCAGCAGTCCAGAGCCACATAGCTGCCCCGCGGGATACCCACCCTAGGCCTCCCAGCTGGTGGGCTTCATAAAAGGGCCACGTGAGAGAAAAGGCCACTGCCTGCTGCCAGAGACAGAAGACAGCTGCCTGGAGCCCCCTTGGAGCCTCATGGTCTAGCTGTACGGGTATTTAGTCTCATGCCCGAGGGAAGGGGAACATGACATCCTCTGGATGCGGTCCCCCAGTACTGTGGGCCATCAAACCCAGCAGCAAAAAAAAAGCCTCCACCGCCCACCCTCACCTTCTGCCCAGGAGCTGGGGCCTCCAGAACAAACCCAAGCTTCCTCCACTCCCAGGCTTCTACTGCCCACTGGGTGAGGGTCCTCTTTGTCTCTCCCCTCTCCGGCCCACCCTGACATCCTCTAGGTTCAGATCCCAGGATGGAGGTGAAGCAGGTCACCCACAGCAGACTGGCCCCACATGGAAGCACTGAGTTAACCCTGGACAGCTGAGAATTAGGAAGAGGGGGAAGCCAGGGACTGGAGAAGCTTGAGGACAGAACCCCAAACAGACACGGGTACAGGCTCTTTGGTTTGGGAATGGGAGACCCTTGTTCAGGCAGACTCCACTGCCCTCCTAAAGACACAGCAGAACTGGGGGCTGCTGCGACCCAGCCACACAGGTTCCTACGATGGCAGGGGGTGAGAGAGCAATGCGTCCTTGACAAGGGAGGTGGCCCTCCTCAGGAAGGAAGGTGTCGGTCTATAGGACACCAGTGCAAACTAGAAAGCTGCGCCCCTCTCCAGGACCACAGGCTTGTGGAGGCTGACTCACCATACATCAGAGTTCAATCCCCACAGGCATGAGGGGTCATCCTTAGCTGTGCCATTCAGGTTGGGTGGGGAGGGAACACAGAAGACAAGGACTGCCCTGAGAAAGTGGTGGGACACTCCCTCCCTGACTGCCCACACCCACCGGCACCCATGGGTGCCCAGATGGGCTGAGCTGCAGGAGAAGGTAGAGAAAGGAGGGGTGGGAGGCTGGAAAGTCACCTGAGTCAGAAAGAATGTGAACTCCTGTGGGAGGAAGTAAGGGCCAAGTGTCTGTGAGCCTGTGCGGAAGCGTCTGTACCTCGTACACCTGAAGCCTGGTCCTATCTATGGCTTGGAGATCAGCTGCCACCAGGCCCAGGCCAGGCCAGATCCCAGCTGTTTGCTGACAGCTGCAAACCAAGAGACCAATCCTGTCACATGACATGCGTGCAAGGTGGAGTGAGGGTGCCGTGGCAAGTTCACTTGTGCTGTGAGTTACGCCATGTTCACCTGGTCAGTTTCTAAAGGTGTGCAAGGTCCACGTGGACAGGTCTATACAGATGGGGCGGGTGTGAACACAGGCACAGGCCGCATGTGCATACTGGGGTGGCTGGGCGTGCTCACAGGCATCTCTACACATGCCAGTGAAGGGGAGACGGCACACGCAGAGGAGGCCTGGTGAGCAGCCTCTTCCCTGGTCCAGGGCATGCCGGTTGTCCTGATCCTGTCCCTGCTGGCCAAAGCCAGCCTCCATGTCCCACCACAAGGCTGGAGTGGAGAGTTCATAGTGAAAGACCCAAGTCAGGGAGCAGGGAAGGGACACCACCCGAAAGCTGGGGTGACTGCTCGAGGCAAGGTCTGGACCTCCTGGGCTCCTCCGACTCCTAGGATCGGCCTCTGAAAGATAACGACAGAGGCGTACTGGGCAGGGTAGCCCGTCCCCATCTGCCCTGGAGATGAGACCCAAACAACACTGGCCTTCCCATCCTGCCCCAGAGGCCACTCTGTAAACAACTCTCATGGAGCAAGGGCAGGGTGCTAGGGTATTCCCATGCTTCTGCTTTCTGAAAAATAGAATATTTACCCTGCTCCCAGCCCCTCCTGTCTCTGGAATTCCTCACCCAAGCCCCACGGAACACAGTTTAAGAGGGGAAGCCGCTGTTCACAGTTTCCCACTGCGGTCTCGGAAGAAGCCCTCGGCGGCCTGAGCCTCGCGGAAGGTGACGGTGATGGAGTTGGCGGTGATGTCGGTCACGGTAACTTCACTTGAAGGGAGCATGGGTGTCCAGGGAGGGGGCCCACCGGCCAGGTCTGCTTCTGCGGCAGCCATGGGACAAAGACACAGATGAGGCACAGGTTGGCACTGAGTGGGCAGTTATAAGTAGTGTATGGCAGCTCGGAGCCCATCCCCCATGTCCTTGAAGCGGGATGCTTAGGAGGGTGCACATGTACCTGGCCCAGGGTGTCAGGACTGTAGAGTGGAAGGGCAGGGGGCAGACCCAGATCAGTGCTAACTGCTCCACAGCTGTGTGGTCTCCAGGCCCCTCGGACAAGGGTCAGGGACCTTTCAGGCTTTGAGGTCTCAGGATGACCACCTTACCCTCTTCCTCAGGGGACTGCTCCACAGGCTCCCAGTCGCCGGCGGCCTGCAGGACATCTGGGGCTGGTGGCTCCTGCAGGGAGAGCTCCCGTCGATGGCTGTGACTCTCCAGGTGGGGCCCGCGTGGCGGGAACTTCTTGCATGAGAGCCGCAGGTACTTGTGGGCCTTGCGTGGCTTGCGGAGCGGGAAGGGCAGGGTGGGCACCAAGGGGCCCTTGTCCACCAGCTCAGCTGCCCCCGCCTTGACCACCCCCTCAGGGCTCCCGCTGCCGAGTGGGCGCATCAGAGAGAAGCAGAGCTTCTCCTTGCCCTTGGCTTTGTGGGAGCTCCGCAGGTCCATGCTGTACAGCTGCTGCAGGGGCAAGCCAGGGCGTGGCGGGTCAGCCCGCCCCCCACGCAGCACTCTGCTCATGCTGTAATTCCCCCAGTGTACCCCAGCCTCACCTGTTCCACCTGCACCTCCCCAGTCTGTGGGCCAGTGGCCACACCAGCACAGCCTACCCCTATGCCTGCTGAGCTCAGTCACCCCTCTTGGCCACAAGCACGGGCCTTGTCTCCCCAGGGCTGAGGGTCAGGGCTACAGGGGATTACTCCTTTGATCCACAGCAGAGCAGCACACAAGTGTACACACTGAAAACCAACCCAACAGGGGTAGGGGCACAGCACCTGCCTAGCATGTGCAGGGTCTGGGTTCAATGCTGAGTGCTATGCAACGTTAAAGACAAAACTAGACTAATGAAGTAGACACATTACAGAGATTTTTCTGCCTCTTCGGAGAGGGAACCTTGCCTCCCAAGGAGATCTAAAAGCTGAAACGGCAGCAACGAGCGGCACGATAGACGGCACGAGCGAAGGGGGCAGCTGCTGCTGGATTCTGGGGACACTCCAGCTTGCAGGATCAGCACCCACCTGCTGCTTGCAGACAAGGACATTCCTGGGCCCTGGGAACTGCCCTCGGCCCTTCTTGGGGGCTGGGTCTCTGCTGCCAAATCAACTTGGTGAAGCAGAGCAGGATGGCACACTCACACACCTACGGGTTGGAACTCTAGAATGGGGAGTCTGTCTTCCCAACTTTGGGCATGATTGGCACAGCTCCAAAAAGAAAAAAGAAAAATCCCTAGTGTGAAGACCAAGGAAGATCCCACATTACTCTGGCACACCCTTTTCTGCCACATGCCACCAGAGGCCAAGAGTTTCTAGGACAAGTGGCCGTCAAATGGGGCCATGCAGTCACAAACCATCGAGGTGGAGCGATGGTGATACACACCAGTCCCACTCCATCCTGCCCGCTGATCGTCAGGCATGCCTGTACTGGTCACTGGTAGGAAGAGGCTGACGCAGGGGACCTCAAGGCTCTCCCTGAACCCCAGCCCTCGTGGGACTTTAGGCTTTCAAGAGCCACCACAGCATGAAGCTCCTATGGGTCCTCTGTTACCTCACCCTGTCAGCTCCAGATCAGAGCTTGTTCTACATGCTGTGATCCCCAGGCAGACCCCAAGCCTCAGAACAGGACAACAGGCTGTGTCCGACAACCCTGTCTTTGGGACTTTACTGCGGAGTGCGGCTTCAGGCAAAGCCATGAAGACACTGTGGCTTCTTCCTTGCTCTTTGATCACCCGCTTGATTCAGAAACTCATGGACACAATGCGAGGACACCCTCACAGCAGAGCCTGCCAATCTCCAGAACTGCCGCACTGCCTCGCTGCACACGCCAGCAGCCAGGCTTCCTGCCCCAACCCTGAAACAACAGACTGGATCTGAGACAGATCACTCTGCAACCAGCCGAGGCAGCACCACCTTCTGGACCCACAGAAACCATGTAACACAGTAACGGTTCCCATTTTCCAGTTGCTGTGGGGTGATCTGTTACCCGGCAGTAGTTGACACGTTTACCGTGCTTTGACATAACAGATGGAACGTGTCCAGCACGTGTGATGTGCTGGCTAGCAAAGCTCACTTTCCTTCCTAGGGCCAATTTAGGTCGTCCCCACCTAAAAGCAAGCCAACCTGGCCACCAGAGAGCCTGAGATAATCCAGCACCGGGAATGGCTAAACACACCTGCCCCAAAGTTCGTCAAATGCCCAGGTAGGCCTTATGAGATCAAGAATACACACTCTGCCCAGACCCTTACAGGCAGGAAACACTCAGACCTGCCCAGAATCACAACTGTGTGGCTTCACACTCTTTCGGCTTCTTTGCCAAGACTTAAGGTATCCTGAGAGTAAGCAGAAACCTTTGCAAGGCAGGAAAACACAAGCTTCATGGCATCTTCCCATCCAAAGAGAACACGGTTCTAGAAGTCTGCTGTTCCAAGGTCATGTTCAGGACGCTAAGGTTCTCCGGTTCTTGGATTTTGCAATCCTTGCCTGCCAAGTTTTCTCAATGCTAAGATTCTCAGACATTTTGAGTTTAGAGATTTGGAGCATCAAAAAGGCTTATTTACAACATTTCAAGTTCCCAAGGATTGCGATGTCCGTTCTCAGGCCCACCGGCGTCCCCTGCCCAGGCTGACTTCCCTGGCTCTAGCTTCCACACATAGCCTTTACCCCATCCCTTCTACTGAAATGTACCCACTGAGTGACTCATGCCACATACACTGGGTGGTGCTGGGTGGAGTGAGAAAACGGGCTCGAGGGCTAGTGCGCATGCAGGTGGGGGAAGCCAGGGTCGGGCAGGGGAAGGGAGGAAGCTCAGAGGCAGTGGTTACCTGCAGCAGAAGCCGCTTGGGTTTCGGACCTCTCTTCCTATACCCTGATGCTCGGTCTCTCTCCTCCCTAGGAGTTCGAGGAAGGTGGCAGAAGAAAAAGAGACACTGGTGACATTTAAGGGGAAGCAAGGTGTCTGCCTCAGCCCCCTCCATTACATGCTTGGCTTGGGAGCGTTGTTGGTCATCCCACACTCCTGCCCCCTGCTCGGCAGGGTGAAACCAGTGGGGCTGACGCTCAACTTCTAGGGCTTGGATTTTTTTTTTTTTTAAATTGTTATCGGTTTTCTTTTTCTTTTTCTTTTTAAAAGATTTATTTATTTATCATGTATACAATGTCTGTGTACATGTACTGAAGAGGGCACCAGATCTCATTAGAGATGGTTATGAGCCACCATGTGGTTGCTGGGAATTGAACTCAGGACCTCTGGAAGAGCAGACAGTGCTCTTAACCTCTGAGCCATCTCTCCAGCCCCTAGGGCTTAGATTTTACTCGGAAAACGTACAGGTCCTTGCTACCCTCCAGGGCTAGCCACACAGGGTTCTACAGTCTGTGCCACCTAGGGACCCGCTAAGGGTGAAGCTCTGCTGTCTGCTCTCAGCTAGCAGTACGGCACCTGGCAACCCAGTTTGCCTTGAGTGTCTTGGAACCTAGTGGAATCTTCAGAGAAAGGAACCTGCCTCATCTAACTGGGGAGGGGAAGGGAGGGGAGGAGCGCCCTCTTCACGAAGCCACCCTCAACCTATACGACATAACTCAGGATTCCACATGGCAGTGCCAAAGACATGGGGACACTAGGTACTCTGTCTCAGGCCACCCCACTCATGCTTCCTGTGGCCCCATCACGAAAACAGCACAGACAAAGAAAGAAGGTGGGGCTGGGGGCCTGCTCATTTCCCATTGAGGGTTGGGTGACCTTAGGCCACTTCCCCATCTGGGCTCTCCGTAAACCAGCCCTCTCCAAACGTCTTAAAGTGGTCTTCTTGGCAGGAGCTATCACATCGTTGCCTGCCACCGAACTCCCCATGCGAGGAATGGGCACATGGCCTTGGCACTTCCCACTGCTTTCTTTGTCACACTCTAAGACAGTCCATACGCCTGGGCATGGTGGCACACATCTGTTAATCTCAGCACTCGGGAGGTGGAGGAAGGAGGGTTGCCACATGCGTAAGGCCAGCCAGGTCTACACAGTGGGACGCTGTCTCAGGAAACCGAGACAGTCCACAGAACCCTCTCAGTGACACAACCCTTTACAGGAGCGGTTCTCAACCTTCCTAATGCTGCGGGGACTTTAACACAGCTCCTCAAATTGTGGTGACCCCCCGGTTGAGAACTGCTGTTTCAGACCAAAGTCCCACCAAGAACTTAGGGAGCCTAAGGAACTGTGGGGCAAGACCACCATCACAATCAGTTATGAGCAATGTTGATGGACCGGAGAGATGACTTAGCAGTTGAGAGCACTGGCTGTTCCTGTAGAAGACTCAGGTTCAATCCTAGCACCCACATGGCAGCTCACAGACTAACTCCAGTTCCAGGGGCTATGACACCCTCTTCTGCTCTCCAGAGGTACTGCATGCACACACACTCACTCAGGCATTCACACATACATATAAAAATAAGTATTAAAAAGAACAACAATCACCAGGCAGTAGTGGCGCTCGCCTTTAATCCCAGCACTCGGGAGGCAGAGGCATGTGGACCTCTTTGTGAGTTCGAGGCCAGCCTGGTCTACAGAGCGAGTTCCAGGACAGCCAGGGCTTCACAGAGAAACCCGGTCTCAAAAAAACAAAACAACAAAAAAAGAAAGATGATGACACGTCCTTTGAACATGCTTCCAAGCCTCTGGGGAGAAGCCACAGTGTAGCAATGAGGGGCTGCTTAGGTCATGCTGTTGCTGTCCTAGTTCCTGTCTGCAAGGCTCCCAGACAAGGCCCCTAACTGCCCAGACTGGCTTTCGTTTCCTCCTATGTCCAATGACACCTTCATTCCTGTGTCAAGAGATTACCTTAAGGAGCCAAATAAAAAACAGTTTTAAGGACCAGCCACACTCTACGTCCAGCCCACAGGAGAAGGAGGAGAGTGGATCAGCCACAACTCCAGGTGGGCTGCAGGGCTGTAGCGAGACTGTCTACAAACAGGCACTGGGGTGGGGGTGGGGACACCGTGAGCTCTCTCGTCTAGGAAAGGGGTTCACTGCTAAGTCTGACAGCCCGAGTTCTATCCCTGGGACCCTATGGCAGGAGAGAACCAATGTAAGCCGTCCTTTTAACACTCACACATGTACTGTGGCACTCACGTACCAACACACACACACACACACACGATGTAATTTTAAAATGACTCATCTAACTGGGTAGGTGTGCGATGGCGCGCACCTATAATCCCAGCACTCGAGAAAATGGATCTCTCTTCGAGGGCAGCCTGGTCTACAAAGCGAGTCCAGGACAGCTGAGGCTGAGAAACACTGTCTCGAGAAACCAATAACAACAACTAAAAAGACGGCATGTTGTGGCACACTCTGTGGCCCAGGTGGGACCATGGCTGTCAGCAGTCTGCTGAGGGAAGGCCAGAGGCCCAGCCTTCCTCATGTCGCCAGCCTTGCCTGGCCTCACCAGACTTCCTTTATGGACAGGGGAAGTCAGATGCTGCCATTCCCACGTGGGACACATCTGTCAGTGCTTCTGAATGAATCCTCAGCCTGGCACCAGGAAGCCACACGAGGTCAGAAGCTGGCAGACAGAGAGACACCAGCGGGACATGGGAACAGAGCCTGGCTGCCACCACTTTCCCCTGCATACGCACCACTAACCCACCCGGCCCTACAGACCCTCCAGAACAGGAGGCCCTTACTTTTCCTCGTAGGCCATGACAAGGCGGGGGTCCAGGATGTGCTCCTCTGGCTCCCACGTGCTGTACCTGGGGAGAAGAACAAAAGGTCAGAGCTGCCCTGCCCCATCAGTGTCACAGAGGCTGCAGCCAGCCTGTTGTCTAGCCTGTGAAGGTTCAGAATCCTAGCCTAAGTCTCCAGGAACTGCATGGCATCACAACTCCCCTCACTCATGCCACGCTGTGATCAAGACTCACACTACAGATGCCAACTAGATCCACTATCCACCCGAGGCCTAAGGATGCCTCTGTTCCCCATCCCATGTCATGGCAGAGGCTCTGGAGCTACCCTATGTGGGTTCAAGTCCCAGCTCTGAACCTGGCTAACTATGCAATGTTGAGTTATGTGCTCAGCAGCCCCGTGCTTCCGTGTCCCTCTCTGTGAGGTCCTGACTAAAGGTCTTAGGGCTGTTCACAGTAGTGCCTGGCAAGGAGAAGGAGCTTTACTACTCTCTTCTTTTTTAATGTTGCTCAACCCCAGCCCCAGCCTGACCAGCATGTCTCCATCAAGCAAGGCGTACAGCCCCTTCTGAGCTTGGCCCACAACAGGTGTCAGTAAACGTCTAGTGATGACAGGTTTTTTTTTTTTTAAAGACTTATTTATTTATTACATAGGCAATGCTCTGCCTGAATGTACACCTGCAGGCCAGAAGATGGCACCAGATCTTATTACAGATGATTTTGAGCCACCATGTGGTTGCTGGGAATTGAACTCAGGTCCTCTGGAAGAGCAGCCAGTACTCTTAACCTCTGAGCCATCTCTCCAGCCTAATAATGAGTATCTTATATTTTATTTATTTATTTATTTGGGTTTTTGAGACAGGGTTTCTCTGTGTAGCGTGTGACACCACTGCCCGGCGGGTACCTTAAAAGAAATATAAAATTTTAAAGCAGTAAGAGGGAACAGTATTAACCACAGCTATGAGTATAAATTTTGATTAATGTGAGGTGCTGATTAAAGGTCTCAGGGCTGTTCAGAGTAGTGCCTGTATGGATGGGTGGGCAATGGTGGAACACACCTTTACTCTTAGCACTCGGGAGGCAGGGGCAGGCGGATCTCTGTGAGTTCAAGGCCAGCCTGGCGTAGACAGTGAGTCCAGGACAGCCAGAGTTATACAGAGAAATGCTATTTCGAAAAAACCAAAACCAACCAAACAGACAAAACAAGTATGGATGCCTGCCCGGGTGTAGTGATCTACACAGTGAATTCCAGGCAAGCCAGAACTGCATAATAAGACCCTGCTTCAATTTCAAAACAAAGCAAAAAAAGAAACATAGGTCATGGACCCAACTATACTGCTGCTGGGCAGAGATACTTGCTCATCTGTGTTCACCACTCCTACATTCATGCCTAGGAAATGGAATCAACCTAAATGCTCATCAGGTAATGAAGAGAGTGAAACGTGGCACACATATGCAATGGGATTTTATTCAGATGTAAAGAAAAATAAGTTACAAAACTCACAGGAAAACGGATGGAAGTAAAAACATACTGAATGAAGTGATCCGCACCCAGAAAGACAAACAGCACATTTTCTCATAGATGCAGCCTAGCTTCAGATGGGTAGGCTTGTGCTGATTTGCAGTGTCTGCAGAGGTCAGGAAACCAGAAAGGTCCCACGAGACAGGGGGGAAAAGACTTTGAAGTTGGAGAGGGAGAATGGAACACGTGTCATGAAAGTAGAGTAGAACGGCAGAGCAAAAGGGCTGAAGTTGGGATGAGAGCAGGGACTGGGGAGTTAATCAAAACTGTGGATGTATGAAAAGTCTCGTGGAAAACCCACTAATCCGTGAGCTAAGTTTTAAAGCAGGGGTTGGAAAGATAGCTCTACAGTTAAGAGCACATGCTGTTCCAGCGCCCTCTCCTGGTCTTCTTGGGCACCTGCACTCATGTACATACCACACATATGCACATACTGATAATAATTATAAATCATAGTTTTTAAAAGGGGTTTGAGGGTTGGTAATAAGGCTCAGCAGGTAACGGTACTTGCTGCCCGGCCTGACAAACTGCGTTCGATTCCTGATACACACCAGGCACAGACAGAACTAAGTTATCCTCTAACCTTCACACACGTACACCATACACACAAAGCAGCAATTTTTTTAAAAACATGACTGGCCGGGCAGTGGGCGTATGCCTTAGTGCCAGAACTCGGGAGGCAGAGGCAGGTAGATATCAGTGAGTTGGTGGCCATCCTGGTCTACAGAGTGAATTCCAGGACAGCCAGGGTTACACGGAGAAAACAAAAAAACAACTAACTAAAAACAAAACAAACATGATTGTGAAAAGAGGCACCCTGCATTACTGGACGCTGCTGCTCCCAGAAGGCACAGGTGATTAACTAAAAATCTCAGCTCCAGACATGACGTGCCTCCCTGTGAGTTGTTGGGTAGCAAGGCTTGGGGCTCAAAACAAAACATGCTATTGTCATTGCTCTTGGTTGCCCACCAAAATTAGGTGGTAGGACCGTAACGCTGAAGATACCACATATTTTGATTCTAGGACACAGATAAATCAAGCTGCAACTGAGCTGGGGCTTCTTATTTGTTAGTTTTCACAGTTCTGAAAGGAGCTATGCAGGCTGCTGTGGAAAAGTCACTGATAATCTCACCCAGTGGTGAACCTGTTGCTAGGCAAGATGCCACCAATGGTGCAAAAGAGGTATAAATGTTAAGAAAGTAACCAAGTGCTTTCTGAGTCAATTTGAGGCCTACTCTGTAAGAGAAAATTTATGCCTGTTGCTATAAACCTGGTTAAAAGCCAATGGAAGAGAAGTCATAGATCCTAGAAAGGAACCTATTCTTCTTTTTCTTAGAGATTTATTTATGTATTAATTAATTAATTTAATATATATTTTTAATAACTTATTTTAATTCATGTGCATTAGTGTGAAGTTGTCAGATCCCTTGGAATTGGTGGTATAGACAGTTGTGAGCTGCCATATGGGTGCTGAGAATTGAACCTGGGTCCTTTAGGAAGAGCAAACCACTGAGCTATTTCTGCAGCCCCCAATTTAATGTATATTGATTAATGTATATTGCTCTGTTTTCATTCACACCACAAGAGGGAACCAGATTCCATTACAGACAGTTGGTTGCTGGGACTTGAACTCAGAACCTCTAGGAAGAGCAGTCAGTGCTCTTAACCGCTGAGCCATCTCTCCACCCAGGGAGCCTGTTTCTGTTGATTTGCTAAAGGGACATGTCGTCACACTGCCTTTTTTTATTTGTTTTTATTTTATGTGCATTGATATTTTGTCTGTATGTATATCTGTGTGAGGGTGTCAGATCTGAAGTTACAGACCGTTATGAGCCACCATGTGAGTGCTGGGAACTGAACCTGGGTCCTCTGGAAGAGCAGTCAGCGCTCTTAACCACTGAGCCGTCTCTCCAGCCTCCATCACGTTGCCTTCTAATTATTTCCTTACAGACATAGATCAGTACTGTTGTCAATCTTAGAGAAGCTGTTTTGTTTTGTTTTTTTTTTTTGGGGGGGGGAGGTTGTTTGTTTGCAGTGGGCAGAATTAACGCTGCCTCAAAAATGGTCAACACGCCGAGAATATGTGAGTTTTGAGTGCTCAGCCCTAAATGGGACATCTATGCTACCCCTCCCCCACAACACTCAGGAAACATCACAGAAGAGCATGCAGACCGTGCAGGGGCGAGGGATGAGGGGTGCTGTGAGATGCAGCTCTGGACAGCCCGTGGCTATCACACTCAACTCACAGCAGCTGTGGTTATTTGCACAAGGTGGAACCTGCTACCGGTCCAGTAAGGATGAGGGGGGGACACACATCTAGACCCCCTGCTGAGAAACCACGGCCAGTCCATTGCTGCTGGGAAAGAAGTAATTGTTCTTCAGGGTGTGGCCGCTGGTAAAATGCCTGTGACCCAGTAACTAACCCCACACCCTGAATAAGCAAGCAACAGCAATTAAACTCGGTGAATATTTAATTTAAATAATAAATTTAAAATATAAATATATATTACCTGTACACACACACACACACACACACACACACACACACACACACTGGACATGCTGGAAAGAAAGAAAGGTTCCAGAAGGAGGGACTAAAAGGGAAATGAAAGTGGAGTCTGGTGGTGCATACCTTTAATCTCAGTACTCCAGAGGCAGAGGCAGAATTTCTGAGTTTAAGGCTAGCCTGGTCTACCAAGCAAGTTCTAGAACAGCCAGAGCTACACAGAGAAACCTTGTCTAGAAAATAAAACAACAAACAAAAACAAAGCAACAACAACAAAAGGGGACTGGAGTAAATATGATCACATTTAGGGACTGGAAAGATGGCTCAGCAGTTAAGAGCACTTACTGCTCTTACAAAGGACCTGAGTCAGTTCCCAGCACCCACTTGGCGGCTCACAAGCACCCATAACTACAGTTCTAAGGGATCTGTTGCCTTCCTCTGGCACTCAGGTGGGGCACATACATACATACAAGCAAAAACATCCATATGTATAAAAAATCACAAAAATTAAATCTTTTAAAAATACATTATACACACATAAAATCATCAAATAAAAATGTGATACCACACATATAAAGTATACACACACACACACACACACACGCATTTGTTTTTTTCAAGACAGGGTTTCTCTGTGTAGCCCTGGCATCCTGGAATTCACTCCGTAAGACCAGGCTGGCCTCGAACTCAGAGATCCATCTCCTCAGTGCTAAATTTTTTTGAATGGAAACAAGGCCATGTTCTGTGAATCAGGCCAAGGTCCCCCTGGAGAAAGAAGACAAATGGGTGGGAAGGCTCATCAGCGAGGAGAAAGAAACAGAGAGACACTCTCAGAGCTAAAAACAAAACAAAACAAAACACTTCTCTTCAGTCTCAGGGACACTGGACCAGGAAGAAGGGCAAGCTGCCCAGACACAGAACTCTTCCTTCCTTCCTCCCTGTTACCATTCGGTTCACATGTGGGATGCTGGGCTGCCTTCTAGCGGTCCTGCCACGAGCATCACCAGCCCGGAATGCAGGCTCTTCCCCTGTCCAGCAGCCAGCTTCTAACTATCCTTAAGAGCCAGAGTCTTGTGGTTTCCCTTCCCAACTGGCACAACCCCAGGGGCCACTGCCTCTCAGAGCTTCCGGCACAAGCCTGCCCCAGGCGTTCTAGGAAAGCTACTGAGCTGACCACCACCAAGACAGGTGGAACTCACTGCACCCTCACTACCTGCTCAGCCTCTCTGGCCTGCTGCAGCTGCTGTGTGTCTCCTGGTGAGTCCCTACTCGTTCTCTGCACCTCAGTTCACCCATCTGAAAAGCAACTGGCCCCACTGTCTGTCAGAGCAAGTGCAACAGGCTACACGGAAGACCGCCCCCCATCCCCGTATTTTACCAAGGCATATTCCGAAATAATCACTTCAGTTTACAGAAGGAGAAACAGCGGCACAGAGGTTAAGGAACTTGCCCAGGGTCACCTCCTGGGCTCCCCACAGGCGAAAGCATCTCTGGGGTAGGATCACTGCTTAGATCCAGGCCCTTTAAGCCCTGACAAACTATAGAATTACAGGATCCTGGAACCAAGTCCCAAGGCAGAGAAAGAGAGCAGCAGGAGGGAAGGGTGTGGGAGGACCGCCAGGCCCTGAAGTGAAGCAGCAGGGTCTTGGAGGGTCCAAACCCGGGCTGCGAAATGCCGCCGCAGTTATCTGATGCACACAGAGCACCGCGCTTGCGCACGCACGCAAGCACAGGGTGAGGGTGCGAGCCCAGATCACTGGAAACCCATTCGGGCGGGCACGCCTGCCCGCTGGAGATAAACATGGCCACGTGACCCTCGCCCCGCCCCTGCCCCACAGCCCGGTAAACAAGCTCGGCCGAGGCTCTGGGTCTCACTACGCAGCACTCCGCGAGCCGGGTCAGGCGATTGGGGTGGGTCGCAGCACCCCAGCAAGCCGGGTCGCTGGGCCCCGGCCTGCCGTTCCGGAGTGGGGGAGGGGACTGCTATGATGTATGCAGAAACCGGGCGAGTCGGAGCCACGCGGAGCAAGGCCGGCGGCAGCTCCATAACTCCAGTTTTAACCGCCCCAACTGCTGAGCCTCATTCTAATGCGGGTCTCCCCGTAATCCCTTAGCTTTGGGTTGTGAAGATTCGATGTGTTATGCCACAAGACTCGCATACTTGAGTGTGGCACATGATAAAATCCAAGAAGCGTTCATTAGACCAGCTTCGGAAGCCTAGAGTTGCAGGCTTGGCTGCCAGGGCTAACCCAGGCTTTTGGGCCTATGGAGGAGGAGGCCTACTCCGTACCTGACTGCCAGGGTGCACGGGTGACTCCTTCACTTACACATGAGGAAATGGAGGCATAATGAAAGAGTTTTGCCTTGGGTCACGGCTTGTCAATCACAGCCAACGTTGATAGGGCGGCATGATGGTCTGGCACCAGAGAGCTACAAGACACTGGGATCCCTTTGGTAGTGTGTGCCAGGGGTAGGTCGGAATCTCATCTGAGCTTCTGTACCCCATACAGAGCTCTCACACTCGCAGCTTGGAAACTGACAGTACTGAAGCTCCAAGGAGCAGTCTTTCTGAAAAGATGCATGCAGGGAAGGAATGAGGGTCTCCAAGATGGGGGAGCAGCAGGGTACTGGGCAGGGGGAGGCAAAAATGGACCCGAGGGTCTCCAAGGCAAACGGAGCACCTGTAATAACACCCTCTGCCCAGTGGCCCCAGAAGATCCAAGAGTTCCCCTCTACCACATTCACTGGGAATTTTGTGCTGGAGAGAAAATGGACAGAAACAAAATGGCTCTGCAGTGGCCAAGCAAGGGTACCTTCCTGTCACTATTACCTATCCTGACCTAGCCCTGAGGAGAGTAGCTACAAAATGGAAGCATCTCACTCTGGTCCAAGACTCCCAGGCCAGACAACACCCACTCCTCACACTTTCTCGGCCTCTGCTCCAAGTCAGTTCCCTGTAACCCAGCTGATAGGAGGCCCTGGCCTTATACCCTCCTCTCCAAGTGAGGTGGGGCTGCCAGGCAGCTGGACCTGCTTCACATAGGCAGCAGGCATCATATGAAATGGGTATTGTGCTGTGGGGGTTGGCAGTTATGTTCCTGTAATGACCTCCTCTCTCTGAGCCTCAGTTTCTCCACCAGAATGTGGAATGGATTCTTTCCTTCCAACAGGAAAATACAGCCTACAGGCCCTCCAGGTACTGTCAGTCCAACTCCTAGAACAACTGATTTTATGAGAGGCTTTGGGGGTTAGTATTTGAAGACTAGCAAAGAGTGGGGGAGGACGCGCCGAAGGGCTCACAAGTGCCAGATGGGCAGCCAACTTATGTCCAGCAGCAAAGGGGGCAGAAGGAATGGTTTCCAAGCGATCTAGTCAAATGGCTTTGTACAGAAACAGGAGGGCTATCAAGGTACTAGCTCCCCTTCTCCTCAGGGAAGCTATGGGCATGCACAGCAAAGCTGAGCCCTGTTGGGCCCATTGATTGTTTCCCTTCTCCCTCGCTCCCTTTGCCACTTTGCCCAGGCCAGATGACCACTAGTAAACAGTGGCAGGGCTTTTGGGAGTGGAAGATGAGGTAGAGGAAAGGGTAGACAATGTGTTATCGATATGCTGGTCATCAGTACAGCACCTGGGTGGATGCCTGTGGTCCACCCTGAACCAATGCCCAGGCCTTTCACCTGTGAGAGAGGCGAAGGCCTAGGCCACTGAACCCACTTTGTAGAGGAAGAATCTGAGGCACCAATACCCCAGGACCCAATCATAGGTCAGCCTTCCACACCCCCAATACACACACACACTCATACAAGAATCAAGTAAGTTCCAGAGGCTGTCAGCGCTATCAAGAAAGCAAAGGGGCTTCCCAGCAGCCGGGTCTCTAGGAGGCAGGGCATAGCATTCACAAACCAATAGGTCCTGAGGCTCGCTTGTTCCCATCCCCCAACAACTCTGCTGGGAGGTGATTGGTTGGTGAGAAGGTTCCTGATGAGGCTTCAGCCCCAGAGGTCCTCAGGCTATGCTAGTCCCTTTGCCCACAACACTAGAAAAGAATACTGGGAAGACAGAGGAGAGGTCTGAAAATGGCCAGGCTGAGCCCAAGTCTCAGCTCTGCCTCCCCCTGCTGTGTGACCTTCGGAAAGTTAGTCTCTGACTGTTTCATCACCTGAAAAGCTCAGAATCACAGCTACTTAAAAAGAATGCCTGGTAACTTCTCACTCTGTCAACAAGAGAGTACCATCCAAATGCAAGACGACCCAGGCTCGGCCCCTCCCTACACTGACTGCACCGAGGACTGGGGATCCATTGCCCAAGGTTCCCCTCTCACCTACGCGCTGGACCTGCTGCCCCACATGGGGAACCTCTTCACCTGGCCAGCAGCCATTGCGGAAGCCAAGATGCTGGGCCGTCGCTCCCATGGCCAGAAGTAGGAGGAGAGGATGAGGGGACAAGCATGACAACCCCTAGCAGGGGGGAATTGAGGCCTAGAATAGCTGATGACTTAGTTGCTGTTCAGTCATCAAAGCAACAGGCGCTGAAGCCAGCATGGGGAGGGGGTGATGGGCAGAGGACACACAAAGGAGCTTACTTGGGGGGCCATCCTTTCCACTTCACCAGATATTCGACTTTGCCCTGGGAAGAGAAAAAAGGAGATGGAGTGAGGTACACACTCTACAACTCCACAACAGTACAGCACCCCCAACCCGTGGCCCTCAAGACTGTCAACCCGGAGTCAAATCCCCTCAGACTCTGCCTACTGCGTGCCCATCCCACAGCCCTCCCTGCTGCAGCACGGGAGGGCATCTGATCCCAAACATCCCTGGAACCCAACAGATGGGCTCATGCCATAGGGGGAAACTGAGACCACCTGGGAACAGGCATGCACGGCCACACACAGTGGAGGAAGTCCCATGCCAAGACTGTGATTCCTCACTTCCAGAAAAGAAGCTACCAGAGACCCTAGCTCTCCTCTCCGGGAGAGGCTGCCTGGCAGGACCCCATCGAAAGATGGCAGGTCTTCCAGCTGCTAGGGACTAGTCTCAAGGGAAAGGGGTCTTGAGTGTCCAGTCCACCCCATGCACTAGGTGAAGCATCTCCACATGAGAACTGTGAGGATAATTTGTAGTACCTCCTCCCCGATCGCCTTGCCGAAGCTTCCCTCCCCAGCACCACACGACGTGTGATGGTTCTTTATGAAAAGCACCTAGTCCAAAGGCATCTGTATTTACTTCCTCATTCATCCTGCCACCGTGTCCTCTACCAGAACGCCAGCTCTGAGCGGAGGGAGCTTTGGGCTCGGAGTGGTACCTGGAACACGCTGCAGCCTTAGTATAGATTTGGAGTGCTGAGTTGAACGAATAGGGGGTTCCCTCTTTGACCTAACCCTGTGCCCTGTTGGAGGAGATGGTGGCTATCCCTGCTTCATTCAGTCTAGTAGCCTGGAAAGGCAGGGAAAGAAAGCAGCCCTAACCACTACAGCCCAGCCCCAAACCCCTGAGGATCCTTCAGCAGGCACTCCCCTGCCTGCCCTTCAGTCAAGTGGGAGGAGGTGGCTGCCAGGAGCCTCCCACTGAGTTGCAGAAGAAAAGGGAAGGGGACCTTCCGTAGGTCCAAGCGAGGAACTTTTTCCATGCATGTGCCAGATCCAAGTTCACCCTCTGCAAGCACGTGCACAAAGAGCTTAGACTTGAGGTCTGGACCGGAAACTCCAGGCTGAGGTGTGTGGTCCTGAGCGCGGCAGAACCGCCTCCTTAAATCTCAGGGTGTGTGTGGAAGGCCAGGGCAGAGAGGGGGAGGAGCTTCGGGGATGCCCCAACAACAGTGGCCCAGGCTTCGGTGCGGCACCCGGCTGGTAGGTTGGGGGAGGGGAGGAATGGAGGAGAAGAAAGGTGTGCCCTGAGGGGTTGGGATCGGGAAGGTCAAAGTCCAACAGGAAAACTTCAGAGGCCACGGGAGACTTTTCCAAAGCTCCGCTGCCAACTTCCAAAGACTTGGTACAAAAAAAAAAAAAAAAAAAAAAATATCCAGAGAGCAGAGTTCGAGACTTCACTTTGACCCTAACGCACTAGCAAGTTGCTTCCTCAACTTAAGCTTCAGTCCCCTGGAGGAAACTGAGTGGAAAAGGGGACGAGGCGGAACGGAGCTCAGAATCTCTAGTCCCATCCTCATCTCCATCCCGGGTGGCCTCGGATGCAGCAGCATCTCCAGGTTAACAACTTTGAACTCCACAGTCCCTACCAGGGCGGCGGAGAAAGTGGGGAACGGGCTACGGAGCCGGCCGGGCACCGCAGGGTCCCCCAGGTGCGCCCCGCACCGCTCTCCGCTCTGCCCGGCCGGGAGGGGGCGGTGCTGGGGAGCGGGAGGCGACCTCGCCGCGTCGCGGGAGCCGCCCCCGAGCAGCCTCACCTTCCGCACGCGCTTCTTCCGGATGCTCTCCACCGCGAACACCTGCTCGCCTATGGCTGACAGCTCCATGCGGGGCGGCGGGCGAGTGGGCCCGGGGTCGGGCCGGGCCGGGGGTGGAGCAGCGGGTCCGCGGCTGCTGCGCGCGAGGCTCGGGCCGGCGGGGACCCCGTCAGGCTCGGCGGGGCGCGCACGCGCACGCGCGCACACCCCCCAGCGCTCCCTCACGCCGCCGACGTTCCATTTTTGAACCTGCGCAACGTTTTCCTCAGCGCCGGGGAGCGGGGGCGCGCGAGAGCGCGCGCGCGCGCGCGCGGGGCCGGCCTCCCAGAGCGCCCGGAGGGTCAGCTCCGCCCCTCCGATGCCGGGGCCACGCCCCCTCGCCGCCGGGGCCACGCCCCTCTCCCTAACCCCGCCCGCCGGCCAAATTGGGCCGCTGGCAGCGGGTCTGATGCTCCCGACGTGATTGGAGGTTGGTGTCCGGGCGCAGCGGCCCGGGGTCCGCTCCACCTCGCTCCTCGGCTTCTGGGCTGGATAGGATCAGTCCCCCCAACCCTGCCCCCCGCCAGCGACCCGGGAAGTCCGAAGTGGTGCGGCCCCGAAGCCTGTAAAATCTCAGCGCCTGGGCAGCTGAGGCAGGAGGATCAGGAGTTCAAGGCCAGCCTGAGCCCCGCGAGACCCTGTCACGTGGCCGCGTTTAAGCCCCCACATTACGGTTCCCAACCACGGGTCCCGGGGATTCCGTGCTCCCCTCGGATCTGTGCGGCACCACGTGCGTGCAGACAGACAGGGAGCCACTTATACACACCAAATGTTTATTTAAAAAGAGGTCTGAAGGCTGGAGGCGGTGGGCTCGCGTCCACAATCCCGGCACTCAGGAGGCAGAGGCAGGCATTGAGCTCCGCGAGTTCGCGGCCACACCCCGGTGCACCCCGGGGAAATGCGGGACGGCAAGAACTATGTGGAGAGAACTTGTTTCCAAACAGCAGCGATCTTTAAGAGAAAGGAAAGGAGATTAAAATACCGTGTGGGGCCGTGTCGTGCAGACAGAACACGGAATAAAGAGAGACCAGGCCGGGCGGGGGACCAGGAGCGACGGACGGCGGAGGCTTCCCGCTGGGAGCGCGTGGCCCAGGCAGGCCCGAACAGGTACCTCGGCGTCCGTGCTCCCGCCCATGCCGCCAGTCCTAGCCGGCTGCTCCCCGGAGAGCCCCGGCTGGGCGGCAACAGTTCGCCGCCGGGGGCAGCGGATCGCGCCCCGGCCTGGACGCCAGCGTTTCGATCTTTTTTTTTCCGCCACGCCCCTGGTTTTGCGCGCGGACCGAGGGCTCCTCATCCACGTCCCCGCCGTGAGCCTTCCCTGCGGCGGGGGTCGGGCCCGAGTCGCCCTGCTCCTCCCACTTCCTCCCGGTTCCGGCCTCCGCGAGCCCCTGGAGGTGACTCAGGGCTCGCCCCTCAGCATCACCACCCCCACAGCCCGGAGTCTTAGCCGCGGCCCCCTCCCCCACGGGCCCTGGCACCCAGCGCGCTCTCGGCCACCAAACCCGACCGAGTCGCCCGGCGCTTAGACACCTTCCGTGTGGTTCCTGAGTCTTAAACTCCAGACACCTCTGTCCGGCCCTCAGGTGATGGCACCTGAGTTTTTTATGAAACGCAAGGGAAGCCAGAAGGCTTTCCTGTCCCGAGAGAAAATTACCGTCGTCCGAGAACTGCGTATTCCGTGGAAATATCTACTAAGAACAAAGGCACAATACAGACACTAGAAATTTGCCCATCCCTGAGGGGAATTCCAGCCGAGGAACTGGGGGGGGGGGGACCAGGGAGAGGGGGCCGAGGGAAAGAGGAAGAGAGAATGAAAAAAAACTGATGATAAAAAAAAAAAAAAAAAGCAGAAACCGTGTTTTCCAGAGAAAAATAGACGGGAAATTAACAAGAGCCACGGCTAACTATGGCGAGCGGAGTTCAAGTATGCTATCCTTACCCATCCCGGAGCAAAATGAAAAAGGGGTAAGTTAACAAGTTGAAACGAACGCGAACTCCGAGAACGGTGCCGTGCACTAAAGTGGAGGAAAAAAACCAAGAGAAGCAATCGAGCAAGAAGAGAGAAAAATAAACACGAGATGCGAGATGAACAGATCATGTAAGTTCAAATACCCTGTGACTCAGTAAACTTAGTGGACCAATACCGTGCTCATTTTTTTTTTTTAAATCGGGCTGCATGAAATCCCAGCAGATGCAATTTGCAAGACAGAACTACAAGGGGTGTTTGTAGAGCGAGGACAGTAAATGGACGGAGGGCTAACAGCAGGTAAATGGTTAAGTGGGGGGGGAGGCTGGCGGCGCTATTTAAATACGAGGGAAAAAGCATCACAAAAGACAAAGGAAGCCCCTTCCGAGGAAGAGCTCCGCTCCACCGGGAGAATGGTTGCAACCTGGCATGCAAAACACCACCCTTGAAAAATGCAAAATAGCAGAGGGAAGACACTTACAGAAGGCAGGGGAGTCCGCAAATTCCGCAAATTAGCGCGGGACGTTCTTCACCCTCCCCTCAGTACACCGGCAGAAAAATAGTAAGATACAGGAAATTTGAACATCATTCTAAAACTTTACTAATGGACTTTTGTGGAACACAGTGTCTACACCAGCAGCATGTTCCTTTCTTTTCTTTCTTTACTATTTATTTTCATTTGGGATTTTTTTGAGACAGGGTTTCTCTGTGTAGCCCTGGCTGTTCTGGAACTCACTCTGTAGATCAGGCTGGCCTCGAACTCAGAGGTAAGGAGAGCCTTTACCTCCGTCTCCTGAGTGCTGGATTTTTTTTTCCCCCACAGTGTAGACAATCCTCTGGTGAAAATAACCAAGAAGAAAAGAGAAAAGATGCAATAATTAACAGCAGGGATGAGAAATGAAGAATTTGTAGAATGTTGGGGAAAAGGAGAAGAGATACAGTGAGAATAGAGAAAAAGAGACATAGCTATAATGTCGAGTATCTGCGGAGCGCTGGGGGAAAATGAGCTACAGATTAGGAATAATTTTATTACAGTCCCTTGAAAATCTAAACTACAAGGGGAAATTCCCCAGGGGCGGGGGGGGGGGTGTCATTTACGGAAAAGCATTCAGATGAAGAGCAGAACTCAACCAGCCCCATCCCTGATAACCCAAGTGTGGAATGAGGCCGTCGCTGGCCTCCAGGGTGTCTGCATTACAAGCGGCCAACACCAAGCCCAGCTGAGGTTTCCAAAACCAAAGTAAATCAGGACTACAAGGGAGCGGCTTATTCCCCGTGAAGGTATCTACAAAACAACAGCAACAACAATCTACAGCAACTGCCCTCTTTACTGATGAGCCGCCCAAAGGATCTGCTGGTCGGTTACGGCCAGGTGAGCTGAGCGCAGCTCCCATTTCCATTGCGCACTCCGCCAGATCGAAACCGTAGGAAAAACAAACAAGGAAACCTCAACTCGCGGTCCAGAAAACTGAGTCTCCGGCTTTGGTGGAGGCTTACAATTCCAGTCGGGCTAGTTCAATTCCTCCGGCTAAAGGACCACCCCTGTGAAGGCGGGCTCACTCTAGGCCAAGCTAAAGAGACCTGCCCTGAGTACAGTAGCTTGCAGAAGGCAGCCATGCAAAGTCTACGCGATTTTCTGAATTCCATAGCTTTTCCTATCCATCTATCTATCTATCTATCCATCTATCTATCTAGATCTCTTTTCTAAGCACCCTTTCCTTAACCCTTTGGGCTTTTTCTCCAGCATGTTGGGCTTCCTTGCGCCTAAGTTTCCCTCCCTGCCATGTGGCTGTCTGTTGGTCCTGTGTCTGACCTCCATGTCAGTTTAAATGGCATGGCCTTTTCCTTTCTCTCCTCCGTCTCCCTCCGGACAGCTGCTGAGGTTCACAGCTTGCTGACGGTTTTTTCCAAAACTAATAAAATTGACCTGTGCTTTCCTTTGAGCCTATTCTTCAATTCTTTTACTAAGAAAACCAAGAAGAGACCCCAGTTTTCCCTGCATCGGTAAAGCCTGAATTAGTGACCAGAGAGAGCCACAGTGACCATGGAGCACTTGAGAAGAGTGGACTCCGAGAGTAAAGAGAAGCACAGAGTTCACAGATAGGACCCAAGCTGGCCACGCATATGTTTAATTCCAGCATTCAGAAGATAAGTAATCAGATTTCCGGGAGTTCAGGGCCACTTGGGTTTACAGAGTGAGACCCTGTCTCAAACAAACAAAATCAATAACAACAATGACAAAAAAAAAAAAAAACAGTACCCCAAATCCTAGTATAACATGCCAAAAATTTTCTCAATGAATGTGGTGACCCCTGCCTGTGATCTCCTTAGGAGACAAAGCAGCAGGATCATGGTGAGTTTGAGGCCAGCTCCTCTACAATGTGAGACCCTATCTCAAAGAGGAAAACCAAGTCCCCCACTATTTGTTTTAATACTGTTCTGGAGTTATAGTGTTTTGCTATAGTAGGCTAAATAAAATATAAAAAGTAATTTTGCTTGTTTTAAAATTTCTTTAATGTAGCTATCATAAAGTTTCAAATTACAGGGCTGAGAGAAATGGCTCAGCAGTTAAGAGCATTGGCCGTTCTTGCGGAGGACCCAGATTCAGTTCCCAGCACCCACACAGTAGCTCACAACCATCTACAACTCCAATTCTAGGGGATCCGATACCCTCACATGGGCACACATGCAGGCAAAACATCAATCAATGGACATAAAATAAAAATAAATCATATTTTTCAAAAGAAAATTTCAGAATCTACATGCAACTTGTATGTATGGTTCACATTAGATTTTTATCTCATAGTGCCATCCTAGAGAGTAGGGATTCTTGAGATGGCTCAGCTGGTAAAAGAGCTTACCACCAAGCCTGAGGACCAGAGTTGGATGCCCCAGGACCCACGTGGCGGAAGGAGAGAAGCAACTGTGGCAAGTTGACCTCTGACCTCCACGTGTGCATCGTGGCTTGTGCATGCCCAGCACACATCACTCCTAGAAGATACCAGAAAGTATAGCAAACAAGACAGTGTTGGATAGGCATGAAAAGAGACAAATGGGACAATAGGACAAAAATAAGAGTCTCCCTGCCCCCAAGATCAGTAAAGAGAGAGGAAAGAAGAGGGAGAGGGGCTGCATGTAGAACATCTTTATGCATATAGATTTCTGTGTGGCGAGAAAGGGAGAAGTTATTAGTGGGTGAAAGATAATGCTTCTGGCAAACGGTGCTAGAATATCGGTTATCCACGTGGGAGCTGGCCAGTTGGGCCTCCGTCCTAACAGTATGTAGCCCTGCGTGTCTTAAAAACCTAATGTCAGTGGTAAAGGCTGAAACTTCAAGAT